AGTTTGTCATTTCCTCCTACCACCCCCCTATATATAATTATAAACTTGTATTATTTATATATGCAACAATCATCCAGGTATGCAGAATAACCACATATAAAAGCTTAACGCGTTACCCATTTTATATGTGGTTATTCTGCATACTACGATCATTGTTGTGTACATATACACATCTTATTTTTTTATCTACCCATGTATAATATTTATATACATGGGTACATACACAAATAATATAATATTTATATAAATAAAAAACTATATAGGTAATTACATGTCGTAGCCAGAACGCACTTCTCGCCCTAATAAGCGATGTTTTCATTATTTTCTACTACCTAAATAATATATTTAGGTACTAGAAAATAAATAATGAAAACATCGCTTATTAGGGCGATAAGTGCGTTCTGGCTACGACATAAATTTATTATTCATACCTTTTCGCTAATATTTATTTTACATAACCCATTTTCAACATATATTACATACATTCTTAGTATATTAAGAGGGTAAGGTTCGTGTTTTCTAACAATCTGTTCAACCGTATATATACTTAAGCATTTCATTTTACTATATGTAGACACTCTAAACGGCCTAATACATACATTTCATGACAATCTATTCAATTTATTAGTATCGACATACAACCTTTCCTTTAATACATGACGTACGGCAGGCAGGTTTTATAACTCTCAAAGACTTCTGGGTACACTATAGACGTTGCATGTGCAATTTTTTCTTTTATTATAATACAAACTGTCACGGAACTTGTCATATTAATAATATTCGACAAGTGCCGTCACCGTTTCTATTCAATTAATAAAACATGTCTAATACCATTCATAACAAAACTTGAGTGCAAATCTATATTCTACCCACAACTCTTTCACACACTTATGGCCCAAATATACAACCTCCCTACGTCATGTATTCACGTTTTTTTTTTTTTACTATTATTATTCTCCTACACTCAACAACCTCACATATCGTACCTTTACATCTTTCTCAACACCACCTATATTAGGCACCACTCTTTATTCAACCCTTCTAATCACCAACACGTGTCATATTTTGCTACTTCATTTCAAGCACCACAATGTCTTGTACAATATAACTCCCACTCTTCACATTAAATTTCCCTAACTTTTACAAACATCCTACATAAATATTGCTATAAAACACAACGCCAAACCCTTACAATTTCATGACAATTATTTCACAACACGCTAGTAGAGATAGTTGATAAAACATTCATTTATATACATTATGTCCTCATTATTCACACCCAAAACATACAGAAAACCAGCCTAACAATGGTCATAACACCAGATATTAAACATAACAGAGGGAACAGTTTCAAAGTACACAATCCACAGATTTACAACTTTCCTTTATTTTCCTTCTTCCTTCCCAATTTTGCAGTCTATGCTTCACCGCCCTTCTTACTGCTACAGCCACCCGTCTTCATCCATTTTCTATACTCCGTCTGTAAAGTTAAAATGTTTGCATTAATTTCAATATTCACTTTACTTCTTGCCCTTCCAACAAGCTACAGTAACTACACGCAAAACTATTTCCTACTACAAACTATTCTCTAACCACCATTCTACGATGTTCTGAAAGTCATCGTTAGAACTCATATTTCCTCCCTTTATATTACTTTTACACGTTTTCACTAACAAAATGGCCCGTCAACCATACTTCATCGAATACCAATTTATACCATTTGACATTAAAACTGCTAAACACTTACCGTTATAGTCAACTGAACAATATGTACATTCCTTCATTCTTCCTAACATTTACACTAACAAACTTCAGTATTCTTGCAAACTCTACGTTCAATATTTCTAGTGGTGTAGAAGCAACACCTTCCACAGTTCGTCACCCCCACCCCCCTGCTAACTATTCATAATGCCCTAAACTATTTTCACCATTAGGTCCTCCCAATTACAACGTCATGAACACTACCATTCATCCTTTACACTATCTTTGAATCATCCTGCTTCAAAGCGCATCTATCGATATTTCCCTACTAATTATCGTACCCTATTCCATTAATTTCTATTTTAACTGGCATTTTTACTGCCTCATAAACCAAAGTCTCATAACTAGGACAAGTAAACTAGTTAATACTAACCGTTTCTAATATCCCACAGATGCTCTTTCTATAATTCTGCAGAATATCCTTTCCAACAGTTTCCTGCTAAATTATAAATATTAACCGAAACTTTTAACAACTTGCCTTTTCTTTCAGATATTCCTGCAACGTTGTCAGCCGCCCGTGTTCAACACCGTCCAACCACCTCTATCGAGACTTGCAACTACGTCACGTCAGAACTAGTTCCGTGCCTTGTGCGCCTGACTAGTCCTCCGTTCACTTTAAGTTTCTCAAGAAGACTCGTGGCGATTGTCGAACCACACCTACAAAAACATTTAGTTATTTATACCATTAATGTTTTATAAAGTATCAAATAAATTTATGAAAAAGTCTTAGTTATTTGTTTAACAAATTATATTTTCTCTGTATAACATTGTTAACTCTTTTCTTTGATATATAGGGCAACACCAGGATACAAACTTAAGTACTAAACCTTATTTAATACATTTAATTTCTTATTTTGTTTAATACATTCGTCCTAATAGCTTTTAAGTTGCCATTCCAAACAATATTACCACGCATTCTAGCCACTACCGATACCATGACTGATTATCATTACGACCCCAAAAGACGTGGCATGTCCACTAGTAGCCCGTAAATTAGCGACATGCCAACACTTAATTACTAACAAAATTGACTATCTGGGAAAACAATGTGATCCCAGACAAGCAGATTTCTACGTTTACTAATTCCGGCCCCACTGAATACATTAACTTTACTGAAACGTTTACAATACAACTTTCGCACTACTGAACAAACCACATGAACTAGGAAAATTGCCCAAGTAGTGGGGGTGGGGTGCAAGGAAGATTTAATACAATACCAAAATACATTTTCAATTTCTACCCAACCACAAACTATTAGAACTACCGTACCTGAAAATTTGTTTACCCGCTGCAATGGACACTACAGATATCAAGACTGAAGAAATTCAAACCTGCATAACTTACCAATACCCGGTCTTAACCAAAGTAATTCAGAAATAATTCCTTCCGTGAATTACATAACAGGCGAGTGTGGATTTCTGTAAAGTCAAACAAAAAAAGTGGGTTTAATACCAATAACTTTTAAAAGCATCAAGATTCATCGACACGCCCTAGTTCTGCGAGCCTTGGGGGGGGGGGGGGGCTGTGAAAACACCCTCACACCATTAAGCCACAGTAGATACCCATAAACTGCCACCAACGCTACGCCACAGGAATAAGCTGTACATTTAGTGCCTTTTACTACCTACTAGCCATTTAAAAATTTAAGTAATATGACAGCTGGCTAAAATTGAGCTACAAATCCCAAAAATTCTGCACGAAGTTGTATCCTTTACTCATTACACTAATAATTATTGCATTTTAAACGGGCCACGTACTGCCCAGATATTGACTTTGCCCGTTCTAATGCAGATTAGAACGGGCTTATATGAGTTAATACACTGAGCAATAAAGTCCACGGTAACCTTACCTGATGACCGGTGTAGCTGCAAATGATGTAAGAAGCGGGACACCTCCCAAGGAACTACGTCTGCTGGCTGTCAGCCCGACACTGTGGCAGCCGCCGCCCGCTCCTGACCTTCTTGCCCAACACAGCGTCATTGGTGACGTCACAGTGCTTAACGACCATTATCCTCGTGCTGTGCTAGTTAATGTATATGTTTATCTCTCAGAATGTTCGGTAATACGTTTATTGCTTGTGATGTGTGTCTATGTATGTATTAGCACGATGTACTGAACGGGGTGAGCATAGCTTGAGCTACCTCATCCCTTTGTGTGTATTTTACCTCAATAAACATATTTCAATTTCTCGTGCTGTGCTAGTTTGCGCTCCAATGTTTTACATCCCCTTAGTTACTTTTAATCAGTAATATTATAATTTAATGTAATATACTGATTTACTTTAATCAGTATATTATAAATCAAAACAGGGGTTAAAAGCTTTCGAGATTCATAAATAATGGATTCAGGAACTCGTCCCGTGGTCTACATACAGCCTATAGTCATTTTCGCCATTTTAATACTATATTAGCAATGTCAGACTGATTATTTTTAATACAAACACAACAAAAGATGCCAGTATTTTTGATTCGCACTGTGTGTTAAGATTTCCTTAGCTAACAATATTCCTTAACAATTTAGAGAGACTTGCACTTTTAATTCTTTATAAAATGATATGCTGAAATTTGGTTTACAAACTAATTAATGTCTTAAGTGCTCTTCGTCAGTCCTAATCAAGGCTAATATACTTTGAATACAGTAACAATGCAAGCCATAATATCAACAGTGTCAGACGCTGTCATAAGGTGCAGATGTTTACTGGGAAAAACTGTAAAACATAATATTACAGAGCACCACTTGGTTTCCGAACTTTACTTATCCGAAACTTCCACTTTCCCGATTGGGGTTGGGGAGTCATGCTACCCGAACAAAGTTCGGGTAGGAAGGGGTCCGCCAAGCGTCACGCCGGCTTGTTGTGGTGGGTGGCCGATGGTCCAGTTTGCCCACTGACTTCACAGATTCATGGCCTATTATTTTGAATTGCCATAAGGCTGGAATGTTCATTCTGTGCTTTTGTTTTACATATCTGCACAATCAAGAAACATCTGTGCACCATGTTGGCTCCAAATGCACGCATTGCGTCAGTGATGGCTGACTGGTGGGTGGATGGACGATGGAGCTTAGGTGGGAGGCAGTATGAATGAGGGGGGGGGAGAATCAGTGAGAGAGGGGAGAGAGAGATGCTACGAGGGAGGGGGAGGTAGGGAGAGATGCTAAGAGGGAGGGGAGGTAGGCAGGCAGGCAGGCTGGCTGGGAAGGAGGCAGGCAGGCAGGCAGGCTGGGAAGGAGGCAGGAAGCGATATATGGGTGTTGAAGTGAATCGTGAACCACGTGACCTTTGAGAGTGTGTGTGTTTATGGGTTTGGGGTGGGGGGAGAGGGGGAGGTGTGTCGGTGGTGGGGGAGGGACCGGCTGACTCCATAAGCCTAACCACACTCCACAGACCTGTGACCCAGATTTGTTTCTTAAATGTACAGTACATCATCGTATATTTTAGGCAGGATGTGCCTGCAGGCTGGCAGGCAGGATGTGCCTGCAGGCAGGATGTGCCTGCAGGCTGGCTGGCAGGATGTGCCTGCAGGCTGGCAGGATGTTTCTGCAGGCTGGCAGGATGTTCCTGCAGGCTGGCAGGAAACATCCAGAGGATGTTTGCCAGACGTCTTAATAATCAGTTACGAACAATTAAGGACTTTTATAAAGCGGATCAGGACTTCACTTATTGGTGAGTACAAACAAAACACGGTCGCATTTACGCCATGAACCTGTCGATTTTTTCCCCTAGAGTTATTCATACATTTTTCGGAAAAATTTCTTTTTACATTTCTACTTTATTTTTTCCCCTCTATTTCTCGTATACGAACTTACATGTTAACCGACGGGTCTCGTCCCCAAGGGGTTCGGAAACCAAGTGGTGCTCTTATATAAAAACATGTATATACATTATGTCCAACCCTATGTACAGTGCTTTATAATCATAAATATCTTGACATTTATGTTATTTTGGTCATTTGTAGTATTCTCTTATTCTGCCTTTCACAAATTAGTGTGATAAATTTGAAATCATAATCTACAATATGTATTTGTTATTGACCTATAAATCTTTGCTAACAATTTATAAAGGAATCTGGAAAACACCTTATAATTACTGATGGACTACCCGTTGTGCTGTGAATCTCGCAGACATTACCTTTCCACTGCTCTCCTCAGCCGATGTTGTCGCTTTGTGTTAGATCACTCGCTCCCTCTTTGCACTCCCAGTTGACACTCTAAAATCTTTGGCTCTTACATCCTTGAAGATGAAGTCTAGGCTCCACCCCTAAAGGCACCTTGCCCTCAAGCTCTACCCCTTCCTAGTCCCACAATCGTCGTCGCCCCTAAATTAACAAATGCACCCTTTCCTGGGTCTACAACCAATTGACTGAACATAATGCGCTGTGTTGCACCACACAACTTCCCCCATGCTCGAGTGGGGGAGTTGTGTATATTGACATAGCTCGAGTGCATGGGGGGAGTTGTGTAAAACCCTGGTTTGTATCTCGGAGAGGCTGCAGGATCCAAATAAGTTCAGTAGAACTTATGGTTTCAACTCTTTTTTTTTTTTTTTTACCATGTCATAGCCAGTCGATTAAGGCAGCGTCTGGGATGCTCTCGGACGTAGGTTCGAATCCTCGTCACGGCCCTTGTGGATTTGTTCATCAATATATAAAAAAGGTTAAGTTCCCAAAGTTACTGGTGCTACTTGATTAATCTCCTACAGAGTTAATTAGACTAAGTTTTAAAAGTAACTGGGAGGAGTGGTGGCTGCATTTGTTAAACAAGTAACCTTAGTAACTATCCACACTGTAATAGACTGCAGAGATATCTTTAACACCTTGGTCATCTCTCACACTTTCCCGTGAAACTGGGTTGATCACAAATGCTCAACTGGGTTGAGCATTTGTGAGGGCGAACTCTTTCCAGTTTTTATGGGGTTAAAAATACAATTACAGTATTACAGTCTTAGGGTTACAAATAGCAACCGTTACAATGGTAGAAATCAGTTGTTACATGACCATCCTCTATCAAGTTAATAAGAAGTATTAACTGCTTAGTTGTACATTTGGGAAATGTGATTGGTTTTTTTATCTTACATAACCTATATCATTATCTACACAAGCTAATGAGAGTGTGAGGCAAGTATATTATATAGTAAATATACTTGCTACATATCCAAGCATGGAGACATCATCTTCAGAAAGATATAGCAATTTTGGAGAATGTTCAGCAATGCCTTTTATTGCCTGGAGTTGAACTAAGTCAACTTTCAAACCAGGAATGGTTGAGGGCCACACGGTCAACAATACTGCAAACCAGACATTAGACACATCTCGGCAAATTAGTTATTTTTTGTTAATATTGAAACATTTGGTGGATCCAGACAATTTTTTAAAAAAGGTCAGATGTAACACAAACAAGGAGCAATGGTTTTAAGCTCAACAAGCCACAATGTGGGACTGAAAACAGGAGCAGCTGCAGGTTTTTCCACCCACAGGGTTGTAAAACAGGTGGTGTGGGAGGGGAATGTTCCAAAGTAGGATCAATAGTCTACTCAAAAAGACTATTGAGTAGTCTAAATCATACACTACTCAATAGTCTATGATTTGTCATATGAAATCATATCCACCATGACCACATTTGCTTCAAGTGCAGTTATCTAAATCACTCATATGTGGTAGCTAAACCCCGAAATGCTAGAATACACAGTGTGATTGTAACTTGCGTAGCTTATTGTGGGGTTCAGTCCCCGAGCCCATTACGCGCTTCTGTAACCCTTTCCAATACCGACCACAACATGGGTATGGGGTGCATAATAAATGAACTAAATAACAAACTGATGATCCTTTTGAAACTTCAAGTTCCCTTTTAGCGGCCCAGATGTGAAACCACTCTGCCGAATACACACCCCTTTCCTGAACCATCTAATCTCCATCAGTCATAAAGGTAGTCGCCTAGCTATATTAAACTTTGTGATTGTTATACATTCAGCTACTCAGAACAAGTTCCAAGTAGCACGGGCTATGGTGAGCCCGTAGTAGACTTACCTGGCACAGGAGCGGTGTTATCTAAACTTTTTGTGGCATAGCTTCACAATTTATATCTTTGTACCGCCTGGCAGGCGTACGACCGACATGATTCTTTAGTACAAATACTTTGAAAAGAGTCAAGATTCCCAAAGATTCACTGTGCCATTCTTTACACACTTGTGACATTTTTTCTCAGTCTTTATTCCAACACCTCAAATATTACAACAACGGCATACTCCAAGGCCGCTCCAAGCAACAGCCTAGTGGACCAAACTCTCACAAGTCAAGCCTGGCCTCGGGCCGGGCTTGGGGAGTAGAACAACTCCCAGAACCCCATCAACCAGGTATCAACCAACCAGGCATAAACTGTCTGAAGGAGAAACCGACCACAATGTTTTCACAACACCAAATTACAGTTGTATGGGCCCATCCACACCTGATCAACCCCATCAACTTGTTGCCCGCAAACAACCGCTCCTTCAAGATTTTTATCAAACATTTCATGAACTACTCTAAGACATTAGGGGGCTATTCATGCCAAAGACTGTACCTCTCTCAACCAGTTTAAGATAAAAAGGACGAGAGATCAATGCAAATAGAGGAGCGTGCGTCTATCCGCTCCCCAAGAAGTATGAGGCAAAACCTTAAGTACGTTAAGGCCCTTAGAGCATTCAACATGGAGGTGAGACACATGGGGCGACCAAGACAAACGAGTATCAAAGAATAACCCCAAAAGCTTCGTGGATTCTTTGTACTCAAGGGCATGACCATAAAGTGACAAAGAACGACCCGCTTCCGAGTAAAAGTCATGACACAAGTATTAGTAGTAGAGAACTTGAAGCCATGATTGGTGGCCCAAGATGACACAGCATCAATCGCAAGTTCAAGCCGCAGTTGAAGGTCAGGCGAATCACCACCCCGACAGCAAAGAGTAAGATCGTCAACATAAAGAGCGAACAAGATGCCAGAAGGAAGGGAGGAAAAGACCATTAAGGGCAACCAGAAAAACACTAGTACTAACAACACTACCTTGGGGCACACCTTCATACTGCCAAAAACAGGCAGACAGAGTGGTACCAAGCCTGACTCGAAAGGTACGAAGAGAGAGAAAGCTTTGAATGAATAGAGGGAGATTACCACGCAGGCCAAAAGAACCAACTTGGGACACAATATGGTAGCTCCAAGTTGTGTCATAAACCTTTTCCAGGACAAAAACGACAGCAATAACGGAGGTCTTCGCAGCAAAGGCACTACGAATATACACTTCAAAGTTCACCAGGACATCAGTCGTGCTGCGGCACTTGCGAGAACCAAATTGAGGAGAGAGGTGGTGATGGTGTTCCAAGAACCACATCAGACAAACATTTACCATACGCTCAAACAACTCCTGAGAGCAATAGGGCGCAAGTCCTTAGGGGATGTGCACAGAGACCCTGGTTTCTGAATAGGGAGTACAACGGCATCGAGCCAGTCCTCAGGGACAGACGACGACTCCCAGACCTGGTTATACACTCAGTAAATACCAAGATGTGCACGGAGGATGATGGCGAAGCATCTCATAATGAACGTCATCCGAGCCCTCCGCCATAGATCCGCAGAGGGCCAGGCCACACTCAAGTTCAGAAAGAGAAAGGATACTTATTGGGCAGGCGGAGATGAGTACGGAAATCTAAAGGATTAACAGATTCAAGAACAGGCTTACGAAGGAAGGAAACATTGACGAAGATGGGAACCAAACTTAACAGAAAAGTGGGAACCCACTTCGGTCACAACCTGCACTGGATCCGCCACAACAGTACCACAGACGTCGAGAACCGGCGAGACATCCTGAACGAACTTGCCCGCAATCTTGCGGATCTTCTTCCAGATCTGCGGCACAGAGTATCTCACATAATGGTGGAAACGACATTTACAACTCTCACGTTTAGCTGTACAGATGGTCCTACGGGCCACCGCACTTGCCTTCCGAAACAAAATAAAAGATTCTGCCGCCGGCGGTGTTTCTTCCAGGCTGCACGCTTACAGCGGGCAGCCTCAGCACAGTCCACATTCCATCACAAAACGCACTTCCGTGTGCCCCGGAAGAAAGAGCGAAGAATACAGTGGAGGGCAGCGTTGAAGACAGTGTCATACAAAAGAAGGAGAGCACAAGCAAGAGGTCAGAGAGAGTAGCACGGAGGGTAAATAGCCTCCAGTCAGCCTTGACAAACTGCCACCTAGGGAAGGAGACGGGAGGGTGGAAAGAGAAAAAGGAAACCAGGATAATTAAATGATCACTGGTACGGAGGTCATCAACAACCTGCCACGTGAAATCTAAATAAAGGGACGACGAGCAGAGAGAAACATCAATACACGAAAGGGTGCGAGTTCGAGAGTCAACATGAGTGGGCTCGCCACACTTCAGGAGAGGAAGGGAGGACGAAAGGTTCGAGAAGACGGCCTCGGGTGTTTGTCAGAACATCATCCCAGAGGGAATGTCGACAGTTGAAATCAACCAAAACAACCACCGGCTCTGTCAAGGAGTCCAGGAGGTGCTTAACATCAGGAAGGGAAAGCGGGACATTTGGGGGAAGATAAATGGAACAGACTGTATACCATTTACCCACAAACACAGGAAGCAGAACAATGGATAGGTGAGGGAAGTAGTAGGGGGACGAAGGGAATATCAGATCCAATTAAGAGACAAGTAGTGTTACAGGGCCCACCAACAGCTGGGGGAGGGGGGGGAAAAAAAGGAATAACCACGAAAGTGACAAGGACGAGCACCAAGCATTGGTTCCTGCAGACAAACACAAAGCAGTGAAAACTGTGTAATTAGATGTTGCAGTTCATGTAAGTTGGCATACAATCCACGAATATTCCACTGAACAATAAACATTACCAAAGAGAAACGACAGTAACACAACAAGAAACAAATAAAGGTATAGAAGAACACAGTTTATTAAAGAATCTCACGAGCAGGGTTGGCAAAATCAGGGTTAGAGGGCATGGGTAAACTTAGTAAGGATAGAGGGAAGGGAGCAAGAGGACAGACCAGAGGCGGACTGACAGGGTCCAGAGGAGTAGGAGACAACTGAGAGGGGCAGGCAACGACAGCTGGAGGAAGGGGGGCAGAAGTCAGGGAGTGCACCTCAGCAACGGCAGTAACAGAGAGGGAATCGGGGGCAAAAGAAACCTCCTTATCTGGGATAGGGGGTTCCACCACTGAAATGGGAGGGGATGTAGTGACAGAGTCAGAAGGAGGGGGTGAGAAAGAAAGTAAAACCTTCTTACCCTCTGGAGAGGAAGAAGGAGAGAACCCAACCTTAAGTTTCTGACTTGAAGAGACAGGCATTCCAGTAACAACATACCAGGCAACAGACTCGATGGTCTCCGCAGAAGAGAAGAGGAACGGAAGCGAACGACACGAAGATTGCTCGGTGATTGACAGTGAGGGGGTAGTAGGAACAACTGAGAAGATGGTTGATGATAAAACCATCAGCTGTGAAGACAACACAAGCAATGGTCTCGTCTTCTTTACACTTAGCTAATTACTACATACTACAATATACAAACACTACATATTATGTACATAACTACATCTCACTATTTTACTTGCTGTTATTGCCCGAAACGCTATGCGTACTCGTGGCTTTAAGGATTGTATGTTTTATCTTTAAATCAAACTGTTTGTACTGTAACTCTGCAACTATGTAAGTACTTTTCCTAAATAAATTCTTATTATTATTATTCCCAGTCTTTTGCAGACTTACTGATCAATTCCTGTGAGGCTAAGTCACACACTTAGTGTGTCATTTTTTAAACTTATCACACACAAAGGTGCGTTCACAATATTAATGTGCAAAGTATTTATTTCAAACAGTCACCGCAATGTGTTTCCTTGCCTAAAAAACAACAACAATCTGGTATCTTCGAAACAAAGTTTGCACCTCATAAGACAAGAATCTTTACATTCACTACATCAAATCTTCAAATTATTTATTACACACCAAATCCATTTCTAACAAACTCTAAGCAACACAGTACCTCAATTCCCTCATCCAACTTCTTGACACTTCATGTCCAGCCACACCATACTGCCTCTGGCTCGCCGCACGGCCCATCACCGAAGCAATCACTCTCCCAATACCAGTCTTTGCGTCGGTAATAATGACTGTCTTCACAATTTCTCCTGCAATTTAAATCCAAATAAATACAATTTCACTTTACTACATATTTCATCATATTTCTCTTTTACGAAATCTGGACTACGATTTATTAAAAGAAATTAGGACTATGATTTGATGTACAGTTTGAAGCTATGGGCAAGGACATGACACAGGATATCATAATTCACATACAACTAATTAATTACATCAATGTCTACCCCGCCCTCCTTCCCGTATTAATCTGTAATCTGACAAACTCTTTAACCTCGGCTCTCATGTAATTAAAATGTAACGCTATATGCGCTTTGCCCTGTACAAGAATTTCACGTTATCGTCTCATTTTGCCCGAATACCAGGGCCTCCCCAGAACTTTGTTAAATAAACACTTTACCTTCTTGAGAATAGCTGCAGTTTGCATGAAGGGTTTACCCTCCCGATGACTGCACCAGGACAGATGAATGAACACGCGTTGACGTTGAGGAGGAGATCAAAGTCAAAAGTGTTAGATGTGTCGGCCCGTAGAGAGAGGAGTGGCGACGAAAACAGAGGCGGAGGACGTTAGAGGGAGACTCGCCACACCGTAGGGCGGGATGTCCAGTTCACGCCAGCAGCTGATCCACGCACGGCGTAGCATTGCGCACAACACGTCAACTAATATTTCTCTGGAAACTTGTATATCGGAAAGCTTAAACAGTACGCATCCCAAATCACCCACGTGTCAGGGGACACCTTTACCTTGACTGATCAAACAGAACGGCACTTTTCACACATCTGAAAAATTATTTACATATATTATGGGCAACTAAAACAAGTTTCTCACGTACAATCGAGTAACAAAATACAATTAGGACTTTCAAGAACAATGGAACCAATCACTGGAAAGGTGAAATTGAAATGGAGATTAATTACTGAGTATCAACAGTAGGGAGTAGCCAAGACTGATAAGATTGCAACGGAACATCTTTGGCTTTGACACAGGAGGCTATGGCTAGGCATCAATGTTCTTTTAAAGTTAAAAAGAAACATTGTCTTATTACGGTCTTCCACTAAAACAAAACCTTTAGCTAACCTTAGTTTAAAGTACTGTGTATTATTAATCTATTTAGCTGTTTATTGGTATATAGTTAAACATGATTAAAACAGCTTAATTACAATGTATAATCTATAAGCACTAAACCAACGGTAGAAGCCTACTGATTACATTGTAAACAATGAGATTTTTACAGGTGATTCAATTTTATAACGCTGATTAAATAAGATGGAAACAATTAACATTTATCTGCATAATTGCCATCCTGATATAAGAAAGGTAACTGCAGAAGGCCTATTGGTCCATACGAGGCAGCAGCTATTTATAACCACCCAATCTCACTCATATATATGTCTAAGCCACGCTTCAAATAATCGAGTGACCCCACCACCACGTTACGCGGTAATTGGTTCCACAAACAAGAACTACATATGACCAACTCCATCCCCCAACTCACTAAACACAACCTAGCGTAACTTGTTGGTAAACATTACATGCTTAGCTAGAAGACATGTTGTGCATATTATTCAAACTATGATCAATGCAATAATGCAGCAGTGCGCGTGCTCAAAATAAAGTTACCATAGAACCATGGGGGTACCGTTGACAAGGCGCCGGCTTCCTGTTGTCGTTGAGGGCACTATAACTGGAGGCTCCTTAGGTACGTTCATCATACCAGCATCTTCCCTTCATTCTGAAACAATCATACTATCTTGAGATGATTTCGGGGCTTAGCGTCCCCGCGACCCGGTCCTCGACTAGGCCTCTTTTGTTACACCCCACCCCCTAGGAAGCAGCCGTAACTCCCAGGTACCTATTTACTGCTAGGTGAACAGCCGCATCAGGGGTGAAAGAAACTCTGCCCATTTGTTTCCACCTCCACCGGGGATCGAACCCGAAACCTTAGGACTACAAATCCCGTGGGCCCATTTTTTCTCATTAATATTTACATTCAATATGTCTAAGATTTGTTCTTGGTGTTGTCCTTAAGGCTACCCCACGGGCATGACTATTTACGGCCACTCCCTTAATCACCAACTAGTCCGGTGGTTCCCACCCGACAACACTGTTTTATATCAATATATAAGCAATAATAACGAATCACGTAATATTAAGTACACACGGGAACACTAATGTATATTATATTATTAAAGATTTATGGATATTATACTCACAGTTATTCCATGTGAACCATGCCAATCGCCTGCTCGCCGTCAAATGACCGTATTCTATGAAGTGGGACGCCCGGACACTCAACTGACCGCTTGGTAAACCATAATATCAAAACTGTCAACCTGTAATACACTTAGGCTTCTGACCACCAGAGGCGCTAATGCTCCCCTCTTATTACGCTAGTCATATAGTGATTGCTGCCACTGTCATTACAAAAGTTAAAGAGATTCATGTTCTGAAGTGTATATACGACAATTTAATGATTTTTTTAAGTAGCGGAAATAGTGGAAATAATAATACATGCGTTTTATTTTTAGTACCAAATTATCTGACAGAGTGGCACTATACCGTCTCACCTTTCACCTCACATTCTTTCTTATCCAATTAGTCTGACGGCTGAGTAAACAGCGTTCAGGATTCGTATTCCTAACGTTCCGGGTTCGATCCCCGGCGGAAACGTAAACAAAACACAGCGGAAACAGTTTCTTTCATCCTGATGGTCTTGCTCACCTAGCAATAAATAGATACCTGGGAATTAGACAGCTGCTACGGGCTGCTTCCTGGGGATGTATCACAAAAAGGAGGCCTGGTCGAGGACCGGGCCGCGGGGACGTTAACCCCCGAAAACATCTCAAGATAACCTTACAAATTAACTTTCTCTACCTCTCCCTACACAAAATCTCGTAGACTTGAGTCAAAATGAAATTCACACCAGTTGCTCCATCATTATTCTATTATGCAGGAAGTACTGCACGTCTATGGGTCATCCAATAAGGTTAGCAGACTTCTAGATGTTACCACTGCTAGGCTTAGGCTCGGCTACAAGTACCTCTGGGAGTTTGTAACATCTGCTGATGTAGAATTAACTAAATGTAAACTCTTTGTCAGCAGAACTACTCGCATACATTGTGTCATTATATATAAAGGAATGTGAAGAAATCGCTGAATTCAGAGATAACACCATAAATGGACTTCAAGAAATGTGTAAGTGCTTCATTAATAATGATGTACTGCAGGAAATCTTAATGAAATATTCTACATTTGCTTACTGTAGGTAATGCATGCACGTGACTGTAAAGCTCCCGCCCAGTTGGGTGGGTGTGGAGCCCATGACTAAAGATGCCGCCCAGTTGGGTGGGTGTGGGGCAAGACTAGTAACTGTGTGAGTCGCCATAGATGTAAGTGTCGAGGTGTATATGTATTTGTGTAAATGATTGTATATATATGTTGTTACAGGATTCTCTCTAGGAAGGAGATTGGGCCTGTTCCATCATCACCTATTCTACCATATCACGTCTGCATATTCAAGAATCAAGAGCAACAACAACTATAGTACTCTGAAGTCTAGACAGTGTACCACCACTCTACCTCCCCCACGGCCCGCAAACTTCAAGTTCAAGTATGTTTATTGACATAAGAAAGAAATACATCTCAAAGGGATAGAGTAGCTTAGGCTATTTCTACCCCCACCCCCCCTGGCCTGTCAGCCCAGCACACCTGGCGCCCCCCCCTCCAAGTTCACGCCGCTCGTTAGTTAACAAGCGCAGTGCTCGTTTCTACCTGCCAGCTTTCAATTATAGGAACACCAGCGCCACCTGGATGGTACCTTCCCTGTATATATAAGAGTCAGCCAGCACCACCAGTCAACAGAGGTCATGACCTCTCCATACGGTGTAGTCGCACCTACACAGATCTCCAGTATTAGTTAATGATACTGGAATGGGATCGTCTCAAAGCCCTCCAAATGTTCTCACTAGAAAGAAGACGAGAGAGAGATATCAAATAATATACACCTGGAAGATACTGGAGGGCCAAGTACCAAATCTACAGTCAAATAACAACGTACTGGAGTGAACGACATGGAAGAAAATGTAGAATAGAACCAGTGAAGAGCAGAGGTGCCATAGGCACAATCAGAGAACACTGTATAAACATCAGAGGCCCGCGGTTGTTCAACACCCTCCCAGCGATCATAAGAAATATTGCCGGAACAACTGTGGACATTTTCAAGAGGAAACTACATTTATTCCTCCAAGGAGTGCCGGACCAACCGGGCTGTGGTGGGCCTGCGGGCCGCTCCAAGCAACAGCCTGGTGGACCAAACTCTCACAAGTCTATCCTGGCCTCGCGCCGGGCTTGGGGAGTAGAACTCTCAGAACCCCATCAACCAGGTATCGACAAGGTAACTAATAATGCCTTCGAAGGGTCACCACTTACAGGCTATTCGTGCCCGTGCCACCTTATGGGTGGCTTAATCTTCATCAGTCGACTAACAGTCTGAATACTTCTCAATGTTCCATCTATTCTCACACTACCCTGTGTGGTGGTAAATTTACATAGCCTAGTACTTTGTCTTTTCAGCACAATGTTATATAATTGTGCGTAACCTTAATTTTTTTTAACTTTGTAAGCCTCCCAAGTCTTATTTGTTACTTTATTATATTAAAATACTTAAATTTTTAGATTTCGTGTATTTTATCCTGATTTTTAATTAAAGTAATCCTGGTTATATCTTCATTCTTGTGGAATGTGCTTCACATTCCATCTGCCTTGAGCAACTAATCATTGTAACTCTAATGTTGCACTATGCACTTTTTTTTTCAATAAACTTGCTTAGCTGAAGAAACTATGGGTTTCGGTTCCTGAACCCATTATGTTCCTTTAACCGCTTCCACCACGGGATGAGTATGGGAGTGCACAATAAAAAATCTCTTGCATAGCAGGATACTACAAAAGGACAAATGAAAAGTAGAAACAAAATTTACTGTAACTAATAAGTTAATTATTTACATTAGTAACTTTTCTAATGCTACAATATAAGTTTATTAGGTCGATTAGGAAAGTTCTAGTTTTACTATTCATGTAATAGTTACAGCAGTCGATTACTTCTCCGGCAGATAAGAAACGCAGAGCTTTTCTCGTGTACCACAGACGTGGCCACATTTACATACTCGTATGTGTTTACAGTATGGTATTTTATTCCATTGACGGGGTTAAGATATTAATATAGTTGAATGTTCTATTGAACAGTCAACCATACGTTATTGAAGTGCTTATAAAAATGCTAATGTAACCTACATACACTACGGCTGACCTACTTTTTTTTTTTTTTTTTTTTTTTTTTAATCACTCGCTTAACCCACGGTAACTTGATGGAGCGCCGCCCTGCTCCTTATTGTCCGAATTGCGTTGTCCCTCTTAGTTGTGCATATACTTGTTGAATGTCCTGACTTCCAGGACGAGCGTGTCTTGCTTTCCGACCGTCCCTCGATAGAATTCTAGGTAAATCTGATACTTTTGATATCTTTCGCCTTATGCGTTTTTGTTCTCTTATTGGCATTCTTGGTGATATTTAGCGCCCTGATTATTTCGCACTTTGATGGTGCTACATAGCCTTCCCGGTTTGGTGCCTTCTGTCAATTAACTTGCCTTTCTTAAATCATTAATGTGCGGTTACCCAAGATTGAATTCCATTTCACCTTTAAGTCCAATCGTGATGTTAGAGCAGAGGGGCTAGTCGCGGAGCTCTGTAGGACGAGCTTGTGTAGGTGTTTAATGTAAAGAAATTAGTCTAGCTGAGTAAGTTTTAGTATGTACAAACACGGCCCTTGTTCCGCAAGAGAACGTGTTCCTGCACATTACGCAACTGACCATTTCAATCTTAGCCTGAAAAACTTCATTTTCGTTTTTCTTCACATTTTCGAAAACTGATTTTTAAACTGCCGCGCTCTGTTGTATATGCAGGCCGCTCCAAGCAACATCTTGTTTGACAAAGTAATTATCAACTGGCACAAAGCCGGTAAGGCTATGTAGCACCATAAAATGAGGGCGCTAAATATCATTGATACCAATAATCGTTCGCCTTAACCGTTTATCTTATCATATAGTATCACTGTGAGAGAGTATCTCTCTCTCCAAGAATTTTAGAGGAAGTGAACGGGGGCGGGTCGGAAAGGAAGACACGTTCGTCCTGAAAGTCAGGACATTCGACAAGGATATGCACAACTGGGGGGGGGGGGGGGGGGACAATGCAGTTAGAACAATGAGCAGCAGGGCGGCGCTCCATAAGTGCCCAGAGTTAACGTATATGGCAAATACGTAACCTCGCCAGAGCGGTTTCTCGCCCCCGGTTACGGTGGTAGGAAAGTAAAGACACTAAGAGCATACAGTTTGTTACCAGTAACAAGAGACCAACGGGCAAGAATGTAGGAATAACTGGGTTAGTAATAAAAAATACCTTTACAGATTACAGGGGCAGAGCGCGTTCTTGGATAAAGCTAAAGTTGAGCCTAGCTTGGAGAGAACTACCCGAATCAAGCAAGTTTTTATTTCTTTCAGTAAACTATACTTTTCAAACTAAATTTAATATTTACTTAAATGAAAGTTATGCCCTCCCGAGACCATAATGAATAATAAAACTATTTTCTGTTCAGGTTCATCCACTAGATAAAGTATGAGCATTTACCATATATTATGCACAAAACATTACAGTAAGGGGGCGGGTGCCCAATTTCTCAACCTTAAGTCCTGCTGCTATCTCCCCTTTATCCAAGCTTTTTCCACATTACACGAGTGCTCACGCTACTGTGCAATATGAGTACACCTACTACAGTAGTACGAGTGCTACTGTCTAGTAGTTTAAGTAAGAACATTACAAGATACTGAAGGACAAAAAAAAAAATTGTATGGTGTACAATTTATTGATGTTTACCAGTTGTTACCATCAGTAGCACCACCCCATTCATCACCAGTTCCAGCAGCAGGAGTTGCCCAATCATCACCCTGAAAAAGTAACAATACCATTAAACTAAAAAGCAAATTATTTTGCATAACTAATTAACATTTCCTAACTCGCATCCAACCTGTTTCCACTACTTACTACACATTATCCCTACAACACTTGCCAATCAATTTATATCCACGTCATCCCAACCAGTGGATTCCATGACCTCGTAAGAGGGACAATGCAGTTTGGGCAGTAAATGTCCACGAGTTAAACATGTATGGCCAATACCTAACCTTACCATCCATTTCCCACCACTAGTTATGGTGGTAGGAGGAAGGCCACAGGGACACACTACTCTTTAAGAGTAGTGCAGTTTGTTACCAGTAACAGAAGACCAACAACCCTGCCAACGGGCAAGGATGGAGAAATTAATAACTGGGTGAAAGTCGGAATAAGGAATACTGTACCTTTAAGGGAGATGGGACAAGTCTGAACGCTCATTTGAAGACACTAATATGGCTGGAAACCCAGCAAAACTCTAATTTCTTAAAGGTAAGACACAGCCAATGTTGAATCTCGACTACCACCGGATGGACTGGATTAAAGGACATTTCATGAGGGAACTGCGAGAGTCAACTACAACCACAAGTGAGGATTGACCAAGAAAGCAATGGACAAATAGCATAAAGTTAGGCCGTGAAGATGCTAGTCTCCAGAGGCAGGAGACACCTAGGTTTAGTCAGGAAAACAACAGAGTAGCCTACACCGTCTGCAGACCTAGACCCATCAGGGAAGATGGAAATGAAACGGAAGTGTTCGAGGAAAAAGAGTTTCAGAACTGTAGGAGGGGTAAAAGCTTCAATGATTGGGGTCAGGGGTTTACAAAATTTAGTAAGGGGGACCCTCCACAGGGGCAAGGACAGAACACCAGGAGAAATATTGGTAATACTAACCGAAAGAGGATTGACAGTGAAACTGACAACGAAATTGACAGTGAAACTGACAACGAAATTTACATTGGTAACACTTCACAAATGCCATCTACAGCACTCGATGCAACACCTGATCAGTCTTTACCGTATGTACATTATTTAGAAACGATGTATAGCACTCTCCATGTTTGCTACAAAGCCAAAAACCCTTTGCTACAAAGCCAAAAACCCACCCCACTGCAACACACAAACTACAGCATGTTCAGGACATAATGCCTACTATTACAACACTGCCAAGCGCAAACCAATGAATATCAGGGCACACCTCCAGACCATTGCCATTGGACCATCTCCATTGCTTAAACTTGAAAAAACATTTGAACATCATATGTCCTATGTCTGAAATTTGCCAACAGTTCAAAACATTACCTGTTTAACTACCTTATAATACACTAGTAAATTTATATAGACTAAATACAGTAATATAAATAACTACTGTATATATAAATGCAAACTTTAATTCATTGATACGAGAATAATGGACATCACAGTGGCAAACCATATTCGTGTGCAGCACAGAAATGCTTTGCTGTCATGTGCTGACACACTTGACAATTGTAAACACTTAGAGTATTTGCAAACAACATTTTCACAATATGTTGTTATAATTAGTCTACTCTCATCTTGGACTTTATATGCACAGAAAACAAACAACCTTTGTATACACTTATTATATAAAATATAAATAACATAAATAACTAGTCAATAAATAACACATTTATATATCGATAAACTTACAGCCTGGCCCCAGTCTTCAACAGCCGCAGGTGCAGCAGGTGGTGCACCAGCCACAGGCACACCCCCAGCCACTGGTGCTGGTGTCCCAGCAGCTACAGGAGTAGCAGGCGCAGCAACTGGAGCCTCTGCATCGGCAACGTCATTCACCCATGTCTCGGGAGCTGGAGCTTCTGCTTTAGCTGCTTCTGCTTCAGCCTTGGCAGCCTCAGCCTTGGCAGCTTCTTCCTTTTCTTGCTCCTCGGGGTCACTAAGGAAAATTAACATTACCAGTTACGTAAAATACATGCCTGTTAAACTTATACAATTCCAATGACTAAAATCATCTATTGACATTAATAGGCTAAGACAAGCTATTCCGATACCATAAATGTATTACAATATATGTATTAGCCGATTAATCCCTGTACTGCACTAACACACCACCTTTGATGGGCGATGCACTCGCCAAGATAACACTATTCTACCTAAAGTGAAATATTCACAACTAACACAGGTACATCTGTACACAGTGGAACAAAACTCCAAAGGTACATCCTGTTCTCAGACCCTCCAGGAAACAGATGCCACCTTAAAAAAAGAAACATCTGCATCCCTCCTAGCTGCAAGCGCCTCAGTACTGACAATGACTAAGGCTAGCATATACAACATGAGCTCATACCACTGCCATGCAGCTTGGGGCCATACCACCCCTTTATAATAAATAACAATGACTATTGTGCCATGACAGTGACATGGATGATCCTGTAATAAAGACCATGTACAAGCTTTAGATATCATTCAATACAATGCTAGTTAACATGTTCATTGTGAGGCAAGACAGCCACAGTATTCAGCCATTTACAATGAATTAACACAAATGTCATATATACCTGCTTGATGGGGTTCTGGGAGTTAGTTCTTCTACTCTCCAAGCTCAGCCTGGCCTGTGAGAGTTTGGTCCACCAGGCTGTTGCTTGGAGCAGCCCGCAGGCCCACATACCCACCACAGCCCGGTTGGTCCGGAACTTCTTTTAGAAAACAATCTACTTTTCTCTTGATGTCCATGGTTGTTCCAGCAATATTTCTTATAGTCGCTGGTAGGACGTTGAACAAACGCAAACCTCTGATGTTTATACAGTGTTCTGTGCCTATGGCACCCCTGCTCTTCACTGGTTCTATTCTGCATTTTATTCCATATTGTTCACTCCAGTATTTTACTGTGCAGATTTGGGACCTGGCCCTCCAGTATTTTCCATGTGTATATTATTTGCTATCTCTCCCAATTTTTTCCATGTGTATATTATTTGCTCTCTCTCTCTCTCTCATCTCCTTTCTAGTGAGTACATTTGGAGAGCTTTGAGACAATCCCAATTATTTAGGTGCTTTATCGCGTCTATGTGTGCTGTATATGTTCTCTGTATTCCCTCTATTTCAGCAATCTCCCCTGCTCTGAAGGGGGCAGCAAGTACTGAGCAGTACTCAAAACAGATATATCATTGAAAAAACCAACTGCAGCTCTGAGGTCACTCAAACCCCCACCCAAGGCACTCCCCCATCCATTCACTTTACCACCCCCTCACTTCCTAAAACTCGTACAACCAACATGTCACTCAAACCTCTCGAAGTCTGAAGTCTTCTACTTTCAACAGTTACGGCAACCCATAACAATAGATACTCAGAGAAAACTATCAACATCAGAGGCCACATTCCACTACACCTAAGGGGCATAACTGGCCAACCTCTCTCACACTTCAAGAGCGCTTGAAAAACACATCAAAACGATACCCGATTAATCAGGTTGTGAGCAGCCACGTCCAAACAGCCTAGTTGACCAGTCCAGCAATGAGGCGGCCTGGGCGAGGACCGAAATGTCACAAAATAACCACAAGGTAAAACTAGTTGAGCACTTTTAATTGACCTACCTACCACTATCATCCAGGGGGTGAGGTAGGTTACGTAAAGCCCTCCCCTTTCATAGTTTTCAAAGGTTGGGGAGTTATTCCTTTCCCAACAATTTACCACCTTCTGGTTTATAATCCAACAGTACTGAAAATAGATCCAGGGGTATAAAAGCTGGGGACAACAAAAATGTCAACTGAAATCATGTCTATGACTCTCAGCTATCACAATAGCATATATTAAAAACAAACTATAATTAGTTTTAACAAAAAATTTAGTTAAAAAAAGTCAAATTTTACTTTTTTTTTCTTTTTTTTTTTTTTTAAATTTTATCTCTCTCTTTTGTTTATAGGGCAATTTGCATGAAACTTATACACCTGACTGCACATATGCCTATCTCTAAGGGTGCCAATTTTGGAGGAAATTCGTCAATGTCAACTTCAGCCACAGAGGGCAACACCTTAGACTATTTTTTACTTACTTCAAAGTTTGTTACTTGAAAATGAATATATCTTTCATTTTTTATGCAATTTACATGAAACTTACACATTATATATAAATTTTGTCTCAAATCGTTAGCAAGTGTTTTTATCTTGAGTTCTTTATTGACTTTATAATAGCAATAAACATGATATATTTGCATATTTTTGGGGGGGAACTTAGACTATTTGTATTAGGAAAACTAAAGATGTTTTGAAAAATCTTTTGCAAGGGATCCTTTATTATATGTTAATGTGTCAGAAAACTGTCAGAATGATTATATCTGAAAGGTGTGGTTGTAAATTTACACTTGAAAATGTGCAAAATTCGTTGAAAAAAAAAAACCAATTTAAAAATCTCCCTTACTATTTACGCTACAGTACTGAAACTTCGAACAATTGTAGCCCTTTTCATATATAACTACTCAAAAATAATGGTTGACACTAAACAACAACTTTAATATACCCGAATAACGCCCCCTTAAGTGGATGGTGGTAGTTCTACCCCTTTTGTCCCATCCTAATCCTTTCATTTCATTCCTAATACTATCCTAGAATAGTATGTGTTCTTTTCAACACATTCAATTTCATTTTTCCCCTTTCACTAGCTCCTCTCCTACCTTCTTTCCACATTATTAGCTTCTGCTTCTTCTCTCATTCTCTTTATTCCTTTGTATATCTTCTTCCTGTTTGAAAGATCCCAGTGTCCCAGTTCTAATGGTACAATGATCATTTTCAATCGAGGGTGAGGATGCATGTAAATGCTCGCTTTTAATGAACAGGCAAGTGCAAGGCTGGAGATTGTCAATCCTTTAATGTGAAACCTATCACGGCTACCGTGGCATAGTGGTCTAAGACACGAGCTTGGGTGTACCAACCGAGTAGGTTCGAATCCTCCTTACGGCTCCAACCACCAAACACACTGGTACTGGTAAAGTACTTCACATTCGCCATATACTCCAACTTCGAATACACAATGAATTATCACTAATGATATATATATCAATGATAAAACAAACTGGAGCTCAGAGGCAACTCCAACCCACCACCAAGGCACTCTCCCAGCTGCTCACCTTACCACTGCTCCACCCTGAATTGGTACTAGGTTTACAGCCTACATGTATATAGACATACCATTACATAGCTGCAGGGACCAAAATCCACATTACCCTTCTAAAACAGCTGTTAAAAACTCAAGCTCTATCTTCACTACCCCTTAACTTTGCAATTAACAAAATATATACATTTGTTACAAATGTCAAAGAAGGAAATATATTACTAGTGAGCCATAACCAAGAATGCAATCGTACTGCAAGCCATTTTGTAAAACTTTTATACATAGGTATTCACTACTCAAGCAACTTAACTAAAAAAAACTGATTAAAATAACATTTACCGGTAGAAGAACAAATCGGGCATAACATCAGTCTCCCAAGGAAGGTTGCGAGAGATGGTGCCACGCAGACGTAGAACTTCACGAGCCAGCATCCACCAAATCAGACCAACCGAGTGAGGGCTCTGAAATTTAATTATTGTTAAACATGTTCGACATTAAAGAATAAGTAAAACATAACCAATACATATCAGACAAGACAATCCTTCAGAAATATTCAGAATTACGTCCCTGTCACTCATTCATCATTTAATATTTAAACAAAAAAACAGTGAAAGTAATGAAATGCCTCTTTCTGGACGACCCTGGCCGCTCCCTGAAGATAGCTCACCAAGATTGCTTCATGCAAATGTGTCACATCAGATGCACAAATCCTTCGACCTACTGGGACCAATAGCTACAATATCATACAAAACAATTCCCCTCGCAGTTGCAGGGAGCAAGTGACAATTTGCCATCACACTGGGAACGCATCCACAAACTCAGCGAAGCTTTGCACAAAATCGTGGGTTGACAAAGACCAAGCCTCAAAAATGCCAAACTCCACAAACAATATTCACACACAAACAACTCTCCACTCAGTCTCGCAGCCAAGTGGAGAGCACTCGGGGGCCTAAGTCTTTCCTAAATCTAAACTTATCCAATTTATACCCATTGTTTCGTGTTCTATTTTAGTTGATAATTTTAATACCCCATTAATATTCACTTTGTTAAGCCCATTCATCCATTTGTACATCTCTTATGTCACCCCCTAATTATTCACCTTTCAAGAGAATGTAAATTAAGCTTTGTCAATCTTTCTTCATATGACAAGTTTCTAATTTGCGGGATTAGCCTCGTCATCCTACACTGGACGCATTCTAGTGAATTTATATCTATTCTATAGTATGCCGACCAAAACTGAACTGCATAATCTAAATGGGGCCTAACAAGAGCAAAGTATAGCTGAAGTAAAACACCAGGTGTTTATTGCTAACACTTCAAGAAACATATCCCCAGGCCTTATTACGAACATTTATGCATTGATTTTTTGGTTTTAAATTTTTACTAATAACTCCCAGATCCCCTTTGCAATCTCAACACCATTTACCTCATATCTTTCAACTATCATTACCTAGCCTCAAAATCTTACATTTATCACCATTAAACAGCTTTTTCCAATCTTTTGACCATTTCCATTTACCATTTTGAGTCCTCTTCCATTAAATATGGTAGACAATGGCTCGCAAAGCTAATGATTTATTAAATATGGCAGACACCGGCAACACAACAGCCTTAACTGAAACTGACGAAAGATGACAATCTATGAAACTAACACCAGGCAACCTCATACTACTGCCATGAGGAAAGACAGGAAACCGAACGGTCAAATCCGAGCCAAAGGGAACAAACCTCATAGGACTTGGGATGTAGGTGTTGTGGGCTCAACAGGCAGCATGGCAGAGGTAGAGAGAATTACCTTCTACTAGCAAAGATGACTAGTATCCTTCAAACTCTTGCTTGGCAAGTACGGGCTTAATAAACAGAAAAAACCATACGAAAGACCCACAAGGGGTTTACCAGGCCCGGAAAGGCAGTTAGCCAAGCAAAGCACCCAGGCACAAGTCACACACCCTCAACAATTTAGCAAAGATTGCCACCAGTGTATCATATACACACATGAAACCTAACACCACCAACAAAGTCATCAACCAAGGGCCCAAACATAGAAGGTAGAGACTCATAAATAGCCCTAGGCTATTCTCTAGCCATTGCCTGGCCTCTCGGGCCCAACTCTCGAACACACCAAGAACGTGTCAGTGGTGGGGCAGTGCTAGCTGGCACTGAGAATGAACCCAGAAAACAAGACAGCCAAACTCATGCAAAAAGCTACATAGGAAACAAGCACATGAAGCAAATACTAGCATATAGAAGAGTATCAAGTAGACGGCCACCAAAGGAACTAGTCCAAGGATAGCTAACACTTGGCTTAAACCTGTGGAATTTGTATGCCTGAACCCTCTAACAATACTGCCACGTTGGGGATCAACAAAAGAACCAAGGATGACTGTGCCAAGGCCAGGACACCTGGTAGTGGCATTTGGTACGATTGGTTTTCAACGAATTTGTCAAAGTATGTTATGTGTAAATCATCTGCAGATTATTCTGCCATTTTACCCTTTGCTCTGTTACCCTGCCAGTTGCCTGTAAAACTTCACTGATTTTCTTGATGCTTTCCCAGTGTGGTAGGAAATTGTCATTTGCTCTATATATCTTGAGGTTATCTTGAGATGATTTCGGGGCTTTAGTGTCCCCGCGGCCCGGTCCTCGACCAGGCCTCCACCCCCAGGAAGCAGCCCGTGACAGCTGACTAACTCCCAGGTACCTATTTACTGCTAGGTAACAGGGGCATTCAGGGTGAAAGAAACTTTGCCCATTTGTTTCTGCCTCGTGCGGGAATCGAACCCGCGCCACAGAATTACGAGTCCTGCGCGCTATCCACCAGGCTACGAGGCCCCCTATACCTGTGAGGGGCACCAGGTTTTGCCTTTGGTCCCAGGTACGACAAAACAACTCCATCTAATCTGACTTATTTGTATGGAGCAATCTTAGCAAGACAGCTTCAGGAAGTCACCAAGGAGGTTCCATCCAAAAATGAGTTTGAAAAAATATGTAAAGCCTATACAGAACTAATAATTTGTCAAATTATTAATGTCAATGGAGGTATTCCATCTACCACCGTACATCCAATAATGGTACTCGCTCAAAAAATCCAGACCTCAAACAGATCCCATGTGTCTTCTGGATTCCACCTTAGGGAAAACCAATGAAATCTAGATAAATGATTTTAACAGTAGTAAACCTAAGTTTTCCTTGTTTGTTTTTAAGTCTTGCTTACTCTTCAAGTGTAAGGATTTAGCTCATGCAGTTCATCAATGATTCATGCAGCCTGGGGATTGCTACTTGTGTTCCATAGTTGTTTGTAGCCCCCCAAAATTATATTGTTCACTGGGAATACATGCCCTGAGAAGTATACCTCACTTCTCAAAAGATTACATACATGGCTGGCTTTAGTCCTGGCCTAGGTTCAGGGTTTAAAGTGTTCTTGCAAGTTGGTTAGCAAGCTTTTGGGCTACCCTTAACTTTCTAGAGGCTGACAGGCATGAAGCCCAACACAAAATAAATGACATCAACCTTGCACATTAAGGACTTTATTGACCACTTCACAGCAACTTCAGTTTAACAGATGGCATGACAGTCCTATAACAATTTTGCCGACTCGGTTATAAAAACCACCCCTGTTGCAAAAAAGCTACACGAGCAATTATTACTATCAATTATTTACATGAGCAATTATTACTATCAATTATTTATGTATTATTTGTCTAAATATGCAAAAAGATGTATTGTATCACCTGCTTAAAAAGAAATTGGAAAAATGTGCTACCAGCCAGAAAAAGGAATTTAACAGAAATCCAGATCAGATCTATTTTGCAGGTGCTACTGTAAACATTTTTGTGAATATAATGAATGAATGAATGAGCAATATTTTAATATTATTTAATATGAATAACCACTACTTTTTTTTACTTGCATTTTTCTTTTTCCCTCCAGGATCATGCCTCAATGATAATGGGAACAATAATATTTGCATATTTGTTCTATGCTCTTAAACAACCCATTAACATACCTTGTTGTTGCAGGGAATGGCAACATCCACATAACGAAGGGGAGAATCAGTGTTGCAGAAGCCAATAACTGGGATATTGACATACGAAGCTTCAGTAATGGGCTGGTGGTCTGAGGCAGGGTCAGTCACAACTAGCAGACGAGGCTCACGGAAAGCAGCCTGTAAATTTTATCATACAGCACTTTATATCAAGGAATTATATAAATTATAAAAACTAAGCAGTGAATAAAACCAGCATCCATCAGTCACAATAAGATATTCCATAGAATTCATGATCAAGCAGATGTAATAGATTTTTTACTGTACATGACTAAACATTAGATAAAATGATCATATGTTTGGAATTCTTTGTAATTTACACCTTATAATAATTTCCTACAATTTTTCACAAGTCACCATATACACATTTTTTTTTTAATTATCAGGGGAAAGTGCCAAAGTTATTACTACTTTACAGTACTTGGAAGAGGTCAGGATAAGGATTTGGGATGGAACGGAGGGAAGGAATGGTGCCCAACCACTGGATGGGAGAGGATTGAACGCCGACCTGCATGAAGCGAGACCGTCGCTCTACCGTCCAGCCCAAAAATATACATCAAAATATTTGAAATTTACCTGGATTTGATTTGTGAATGCTCCTGGAGTGAAGCGTCCAGCAATTGGTGTGGCACCAGTGTACCTAGCAAACTTTAGGACAGCTCGCTGTCCCATGGGGCGTGATGATATCACGTACACATCAGCAGGGTTTTCAATGGCAGCAATTGAACGTGCTGCTAGTAGGATTTTCTCATAAGTCTTGCGCAAATGAATGATGTGAACACCTGTACAGGAGATTATTATTCCTTTTACCTAGATTTTTCTTCTTAAAGTTAAGAACTAATAATATACTCCAAGTGAACTTGTACAAACTTGTACTGATCAGTAACAATTTGGATATAATATACCTATAGTAGGAGCATAATTAATCTAAAAATTATTTTTGGAAGATTTGAAATGGGACGACAAGCTGCAAAGTCAACTTTAAAAAACTCTTACTATACGCAAAGTACATGCATGTGTAGGTCCTAAAGCTGCTAAATTTAAAAGAAAAATTGTACAGTAATTGTACACCAAAAGATACATATTTTTAATTAAATGACATTCTACACCTCATAGTTATTTAACACTTAAAATAATTTCAAGTTACCATCCTGACGCCTCTTGAAGACGTACTGTTCCATTTGGAAGTTAACATTGTTGGCGCCCAAGTGGGTTGATGCAGCCAGGAACCTTGTCACATCGTTCTCCTCCAGGCTCATAACACTCAGACCTCCCGACATGATCTGGAAAATATATATGTACATAGTAAATAAATGCAGTAGCAGCATATTTTAGAATGAAATGTAATTTGCCCATGACATTTTTTAACAATCTAAGTATAGCATCTGTTCGAACATCAAGATTTATAACCATGCAGATGTGTGTGTACAGATGCTTGGGTTTATAACCAGAAGCATCTGCAACAAATGCTTAATATAATTTTTCAATTATATTTGGCCTGGCAAGGACCCACTTTGGCAAAACTTAGTTCTGGTCAATGTATTAATTTGGGCATGGGATTCCCTTCAGAAAATCTCTAGAGGCAGTAAACTTTACTTTTTGGCAGTAAAAGACTTGGAACAGCACATCTGTAAACCAATCCTTGAGCATGTAAATCAAGTTTAATGTCTCCTCTATAATTAATCTCCTCTATAATTACACATTGAAGCTGTTCACTTGAGACAGTTAAGCAAGTCCCAGCTGTGTCTGGGTACAAGTGACAGGATGAACAACAAAGTGGGGTTTCTTCCTATTGGGGAGTGTTGTACACGCTGCTATGGGAGTGTGTCCACTCACAGAATGAGTGGCGCTGCCCAATAAACTCGCCCCTCGGGGCAAAATTAAAAACTACACTGGTATAAAGCACATACTGAAGTCTCAAAACTGTTGGTATTCCCCCAGAAGTCATTATGTTGCCCAATGCTGTTCTCACATTATACTACTCGCTAATCTATTACTAGCTAACTTACTGTAACTTGGAACTAAAATTGATTCTTGTGGGACAAATTAGGGTGAAAACCTGAACAAACAAAAATAGAGCAGAAATATAATTATAAAACCCAGATACTAAAGGCAGCTTGGTAGGCCTCTTTACGGCCAGCCGTCACAGTTATACTTAAAAACTACCTCGATCTAACCTATCACACACTACTATAATCAAGTCATAAGAATTTGAGGAGAACCACATGCAAAATACTCATGTACGACCTTATCGTACCATCTCCACCTCCAAAAGATGACCCAAATGCATGTTTGCCAAGAGCATTTCCTATCCTACACCAATCTGTACACAACTCGAGGCAGGACCAACGAGCAGAGCTCAACCCCTGTAAGAACAAGTATGTGAGAACCAATCGCCAGGTTAATACCTAAATACTCCCTCGAGGCCACCACAATACAAAGTGGCGGTACCCCAAAGTGGTCCCGCATGTACAACCACATGTAACCACATTACACACACAAAACATGAACAAAATAAACGCAGTTTCATTCGGTACGGTCAAATTAATTTTGTTTAATAGTAACGCAGCACGAGTGTGAAAGGGGGAGGGGAGGCTTTTTATTTCATGGTATGGGGGGGGGAGAGGGGACATACAGCATGTGTATATGTATATGAATATATATGTTAAGCTTATATCTATGTCCCACCCACCCCACTCCCAAGGGAAACTTACACGTTGAAAACTAAGGAACAGCATGTCTAACCCAACCCAAAAAGCTCGTTCTTACGTTCATCCTCGTGAAAATCAACTTCACATTATTTTTGTATTAGAAAAGTAGCCATGGGCTTCAATGCAGCACTACCAGAGATAAGTAAACAATTGGTCACTCATACGAGTCATGAGGGAATATATATATGGTGAAGACAGTGAGTCAGACCCGGTGGATTGTTTACAAACTGTACCGCACAGCCCATGGCTCCCTCCCCGCCACATTCTTTATCCTCACACATCCACTCACTCACAACTCTCCTCCTCACAAATCTTGCGTCAAATACAAGCCCCAACACTCGTGAGCGTAATGGAGCCTTGCTAACTCAAAAACACTGGCTCCTGCGGCTCACAAGGAAGATAATCGAGAGACTTACGGCGGCGGTCCACTCGACGGAGTGATCACGGGAAGAAGGAGCGTACTGAGCTCGTCAGGCAAAACACTTTCCTTCTAAATCATCTTTTTCTATTTTTTGTTGCTCAGGAAAATATATAAAATATATAACCAATTTATATGGTAAATAAATTATATTACAATTGTTTCTTTGAGCTGGGTGAGCGTTATTCGGTATTACATATTTACCAAGATTATACCGGTGTTAAGAGAAAACGGTTTTATATTAAGTATGACTATGCAAGAAACATGATGCAGCCGAAAAATTGTTTATTTGCATGAATTTACTTGAAGGCTAGTAACACATTAGTAGCCTGGAAGAGGACAGGATGCCGGTGGCTTGTCAATGATCCCTCCATTTGTACTGAGGATTTATTTCAAGCTGAATTTGAAAGTTCAACAGATATTTAACACTTACGATTTTGACGGGTAGGCGGTTCCATGGGTGTCCTATAACCCTGCGGGTGAAAAAAATATTTCCCGTTTTCAGTCCTACAATGTGGCTTGTTAAGTTTGAAACCACTGCTCTTTGTTTGTGTTACATCTAACATTTTGAATAAGTTGTCTGAAGCAATATCCTCCAAATTGTTTACTATTTTAAAAAGTTCCGGTAAGAACTATGTTTTACAAAAAAAAACATGGTAAATCAACTATGTATGTACTTTTCCTGAATAAAAATGTATTATTATTATTCAAATTATTATTATCAACATTGTCATGTCTGATTTACAGTGCTGTTAGTTCTGTGGTTCTCAAAACTTCCTGGTATGAAAGTCGACTTAGTTCTGGAAGGATTTGTGTTGCCAGCTCTTTTCCCAAACCTGATATGTCTTTATTGTAAATGTTTCCATGCTTGGATACGATAATTCAAGTGGAGACGCACCACAGATTTATACAATTGAAAAACTACTTTCTCTTTTGCTTAATGTCAAAAGTTTGCTTGATAATTACCGAGGTGTGATTAGCTTTTCTTTTACTGTAGCTCCCACTTGTTATGCAACTTTCAGTGAATGATGGAGTCTTAACTCCTTCGTAAAGCTGCTGCAAGGTTCAAGTTCAAATTCGTTTAAGATAAAATACATCTCAAAGGGATAGAGTAGCATAGGCTATTTCTACCCCACCTGCTGCAAGGTAATTTGGTAATTGTGACGTGGGTTGTTATGTCCCACATGCAAGGTCTTACATTTTTCTATATTGGAAAGTATTTGCCGGTCCTCTGACCATTTGTGGAGCTCTTTGTAAGGCCTTCATGTCATTTTCACATCCCACTTTACCACAAATATGTCACCAGCAAATCAGATGATGTGGTTTGTAATATTCTCATTAATATCATTCGTGCATATAGGCTAAAAACCTACACTTCTATATTTGTAAATTGTATGTAAAGATTTACACTAAATCTTTCGCACTCTTCTGAGTGCTTTGTCAAGGTCTGAGTGTGTAGTTAGGCCTCCAGAACCATCCAAGCCCCAGGCGCCTCAAATCTCCCAATACCCCTACAATCACCATCTCAGCCGACGCGCTCGCTAACGTCTTGTCTACGACTACTAACAGCACCATAGACGCTCCCGAAATATATTATACCACCAATTCACGACACCTGAGACTACCTCAGGCTGCAAGAACAAAGACAAAACCACCAACTACGGAATACGCTACGGACTCCTCAGACGAGGAAATCTCAGTAGGAGCTTCATCGCCGCACCATAAAGTGACACCTATTCCAAGCAAGAGTTAACATATGAACAAAGGTAACTGCAGAAGGCCTATAGGTCCATACGAGGCAGATCCTATTCATAACCACCCAATTCCACTCAAATACATGTCCAACTCACGCTTGAAACAATAAAGGGACCCCACTTCCACCACGTTATGCGGTAATTGGTTCCACAAATCAACAACCCTATTACCGAACCAGTATTTACCCAAGTCTTTTCCTAAATCTAAATTTAAATTTAAACTAAACTAAATCATTCACTGGAAATTGCATTTCCAGTGAATGCAATTTAAGCTTTGTTAATCTTTCTTTATATGAAAGGTTTCAATTTGGGGAATTAACGTTGCCATCCTACGCTGGACACGTTCAAGTGAATTTATATCCATTCTATAGTACGGCAACCAAAACTGAACTGCATAATCTAAATGGGGCATAACCAGAGCAAGAAATAGCTGAACAACAAGGCCAAGTGTCTTCTTTCTAACGCTTCGATTAATAAATCCCAGTGTCCTATTTGCTTTATTACAAACATTCATGCATTGATCCTTTGGTTTTAAATTCTTTCTAATCATAACTCCTAGATCCATTTCGCAATCTCAACACCATCTAGCTCGTATCTTGTGACTCTATCATCATTACCTAGCTTCAAAACTTTACATTTATCAGTATTAAACTGCATCTGCCATTCTTTTGATCATTCCAAAACCCTATTTAGATCGACTTGAAGTGATTGTGAGTCTTCCGTGTTTATTTCCCTACCGATATTCGTATCAACAGCAAATTTGCAAATGTTGCTACTCAAACCTGAATCTAAATCATTTATATATATTATAAACAACAGAGGTGCCAGGACAGAGCCTTGAGTTAGTTTAGTTCATTTATTATGCAACCCATACCCATCTTGAGGGGGGTAGTGGAAAGGGTTACAGAGGCACATAATGGGTTCAGGGACTGAACCCCACAATTCATTTAGCTAATCAAGTCTTGATGAGCTAGTTACAAAATTCAGTATAAGTCGTCACCTCATCAATGGGTTCGAGATCAACCACAAGTACAGTTTCTAAATTAAGCAACTGACATATGTGGAGAGCTAGTGTCACAATTGATATGTTTGTCCTGCACACCGCCCCCATCCAGTGGGCAGCGGTGAACAGGTTACAATCACTTAGTTACTACCTACAATTAGCAAACTGGGGATATTTGGCTAAAATGACTGGTAGCAGATCATTTTGAATGAAATATTTGTCTCGAGGAACTCCACTTACAACATTTTCCCACTCAGACTTAACCCCCATTTATACTAACTCGTTTCCTTTAGTATAGCCATGCCCTAATCCAACTTAGTATAGCACCCCCTAATACCATGAGCCTCTATCTTTTAAATCAGTCTTCCATGTGGCATTGTATCAAAAGTTTTGCTAAAGTCAAGGTACACAACATCACAATCCTTACCACTATCAACTGCCTCAACTATGCTGGAATAAAAAGATAGCAAATTTGTTAAACATGAACGGCCATTTGTAAAACCATGTTGTGATTCATGGCTTTCCCACAATAGACGTTAGGCTAATTGGCCAATAATTTGATGCAAGTGATCTATCTCCTTTCTTAAAAATTGGTACTACATTAGCAACCTTCCATGACTCTATTGACTTATTAAATATGGTAGAAAGTGGCTCGCAAAGCTCCTCTCTGCATTATTTAAGCACCCTGGCAAACACTTCATCAAGCCCTGGGGATTTGTTTGGTTTGAGTTTTACTATTTGTTTAATTACATCCTCCCTGGTAACTGCTAAACTAGTCAACCTGTCCTCGTCCCCACCCACATAGACCTGTTCGGCTGAAGGCATATAGTTCCGTTCCTCTTCAGTAAATACAGAGATAAAACATTTATTAAAAATACTACTCATCTCTTCGTCATTATCCGTTATTTGACCTGCCTCAGTTTTTAATGGACCTATACTTTCCCTAATCTTTGCTGGCTTTTAAAATATAGCTCGGGAAGATCGTCAGGGAAAATGGGGGAACCTTTGACAAGATGCCGGCTTCCTGTCCTCGTTGAGGCCAATAGTATTAGTGGCCTCTGGTAAATTCAGGTAAAAAACTTTTTCAGTATTTCAAGTTTCAATGAGATCCACACTGTCATGGTTTGCAGTTGTTAGCACTATGGCCTTCAAGCGTTCCTGATACGAGAGATGACTTAGCTCTGGAATGACTTTTCTTGCCTTGTGTTTCACCTTCTCCAGAGCAACTATGTCCTTCTAAAAATGAGGTCTGCATGCTTGGATACAATAATCTAAGTGCACCACAGATTTATACTATTGAACCATTACCTACTTTTCCTTATAGTCAAAAGTCTAGAAACAGGGTTGTTGATTTGTGGAACAGATTACTGGGTAGCATAAGAGACATATGATCACCCGATTGTTTTAAGCATATGTATTATGAATGTATACAGTACAGGCTTCCTGTTTCTGATGATACAAATTATTTAACATATTCAAGGATTTCAGTAAGAGTACAGTACTGAATGCTGCCTGGGATTAGAGATTGATATTGTTCAATTTGCTGATTTACATTAAGTAATTATTCATGAATAAATTCATCAGGGCAAATGGGGGTACCTTTGACAAGCTGCCAGCTTCATGTTCACATCAAGGACACTAAGAGAGATCATGTCCCTCAGGTAAACGCAGGTAATTAACGGTCAAAGATGTAAATCGCCAAACACAAGATACTGTAGGCAAGCTATGGACAGATGATTGAATAATAGTGTTACGGAGATAGAGTGGGGTATGATACGTAGTATAAGATTTTAGAGAAAATGCCTGTACGATAGTCTTTTTACTTTTTTTTAATTTTGTATATGGCAATTGAAATTCAGTTTGTTGTCAATGTGAGCACACAGTTATTTCCTATCTACACTGCTTTCAATTTGGGAATCGAATACGAATTGTTAATTCGTATTTTGATTTGATTGGTGGACTTGTTTCCAAACAATATGTAATAATTTTTTAAATGCACAATCCTATTAACGTGATGAATTAATGAGATTAATCAGTAGGACCCATTATGTAGTGATGAAGTGATCTGAGGCATGTGCTTGGGAGTACCCAGAGCATAGGTTTGAATCCTCCTTGTGGCTCCTACTGATTTTCTCACATTTTTCAATGTTAAGGGCGAGTTTAATGGCATCGAGCCACAAATGGAATTTTTTTTTAGTTCAGTATTTACTGTGTTGCTTAGAATAAGTGGGTTAGCATTTGAGAAAACTCACCTGAATACAGTATATCTGTAGATTATCATCTCTCTAGTGGCCTTGATGGGGACTGGAAGCTGGTAGCTTGTCAACAGGAGTTTGAACTGAAGTAATGTCTTGGTATTTAGAGTGTCAGCAGTTAGGCAGTTCCACGAGTTTGAGTTTATAACCCTATGGGTGAATCTCCTGTTTTCTGTCCTACAATGTGGCTTATTGAGCTTGAAGTAGTTACACCTTTTGTGTGTTACATTTGACCCTTTAAAGAGGTGGTCTGGATTGATATCCTCCAACTTGTTCAGTATTTTAAAGGTTTCAATGAGATCAGCCCATGTCATGTCTAATTTGAAGTGCTGTTAGTCTTATCATTAGTGCTTTTCCAATGCAGAAATGTCTGTTTGAAGGAGAGGTCTTCATACTTGGATATAGCAGTTAAATGGCGGCACACCAGATTGGTACAGTTGAATAACCACTTATGCTATAGGACTCAAAACTGAATAAGTGTTGAATAAGAAGAAATAAACATTTGGATACAAAACGTTTAAGCTAGCAAATTACCTCCAATGTGCATAAATATACTAAATATATCTTGCTTGTACACAGCATGTTACAATGTACACAGTAGGATAATATACATTAATTATGTAAAAATAGGTATCAGGCGTCAGTACAAGTGTTTGACGTAGGTATAATTGACTATTTTTGGTGCAAATGCACAGGGTGAAATTTAATTTTGTTGCAACAAACAGCAGCAATTACTAGGTCAAAGGACCTGGGTGAACCTTGTATGATTTCAAACACAATTTTAAGGCATATATAAAGGTCACATATCGCAGTCTAGGCACTATTTTCTTGATTCAAGTACTATCACATTTTGCAACCACAAAAATATAAATTATATTTAGTTTATATATTTAATTATACATTACTATTTTTACACACTCTTGCCGATTTACTCAATATGCTAATTCCTATAAAGCTTCCATACTACACCATCCACTCAAAGTTATTTCTTTTCTCATCCAATTATTCAGCATCTTTCTGATGTTTACACACAGCTTGTGCATCCAATCTACACTACCACCATCACCTTTTAATGAATATCCAGTTACTTCAGCCATTCTTGAAGTCTTTCATTTTTTATTTAGATCACGCATACTTTCTTTTTTGGATATTATGTTTTTAAGAGAAGATTGAGAAGATGCCCCTCCTTCCATTGGCATTGGCAGAAGATGGCAGATACACAACATTACTGCCATCTGTTAAATTAATGGGAGACTAATTTTTTGACTGGATCAACCATGAGAGGTACAATGGTTTCAGCTGTGTTGAGGATAATAAATAAAGATGTCAGAGAATAGTTAGATTTCCTGACTCAACTGTATGCAAACAGTGTGCATCATATCCACATCGCCCGAAACCTATTGAGCTGGGGGACAATTAAATACTCAAGTGCAGGTAGAAACCATAATAAACCATCTCTGTCAGTACAGCAAGATGGGCAGTGGACTAACAAAATTATTCATATTTAACAAAGATTTATTATTTCTTTATAAAGTTTATACAGTGTGACATGTTGAAAGAAGCATCTTTTAAACACTCCTATAAATGAATATGTATTAAATTTAAACTCTAATATATTTGTACAAATACATCCTGGCTAAGTTAGGCGAACCACTATTTTGGTAAATGAGAGCCAAGTTAAAGGCAATCTCACGAGATAAATCAAGCCTAGGCCCATTAGGTGGTTCCTCCACGGTAGGGCAGTCAAGAGCAAGCTTATAGTAATGGATTGCTTGTGGCAGGAGATTCAGCTGATGAAACGCTCGACCCAAGTTATACATCGACTCTTGACACTCTCCACGCATCTCTACGTAGGTGTTTAAGAATGCACATGCCTGAACAACTAAGGAATGCTTTTTACCACTGAATTTCTGACAAGCCATGTGCGTGAATGTCAAACCTAACATAAGTGGAATGAGTGGATTTAAGGGGTCTTGTTTAAAAGCTTGAGTGTATTCTGCTAAGGAGTATTTGTATGTCCCTGCAACCAAACAGTTGTGGCCATTCAATAATCCTAAAGCAACTAAATCAGGGTGTTTGTGTGTAAGACGCAGCAAAAACCGATTATGTCGAAAGTCGTCAGCTTTAGAAATGATGAGATTGAGCAAGTTCCAGCATCTCGTGTTGTCTGGGTTTTTTATAACTAACTCTCGCATGATGTTATATGCAAAATAGGAACTATCGTTATAAATGCATGCCAGTAGACACATAAAATCTATTTCTCGGGCACGTTCCTTCTCCCTCATGAAATCTTTAGACCCAAGTGCACTGAAGGTCATTCTTTCCAGTTCTTCAAATCTGAAAAGTAATAAAATAAATTTTTAAGGCGAATTTCTACAAAAAATTCCTCATCAGCACAACCTTGTTTACTATTTTCAGTCGGGTGGAGATGAAAACTAAATTGTATACAATTTACACACACACACAAGCTTTTGTTAATTGGAACAAGCGAAGTGAGAAGTTGGTGGAGGCCAAAACTGGCAGTAGTTTCAAATTATTATACAACAAAGAGTATTGTACAGTACTGTACTGGGAAGACACTATTTATCTATGCTCACCATGAGCATAGCCCTCATCCTGTAACTACACTTACATAATTACACATGGTGAGACAAGTACCACCACATAAAATTTAGTAGCTCACAACGGTTAAGTTTAATTAAAAATTACTAACGTAAAAGCACCATTATTGTGCTGACTTAGTGTGTTCTAAAACCTTTTAGTTCACATGAACATTACAAAAAATTACTGTTTAAAGGTCATATGCAATACAAAATTTCCTATAAATTATATTAAATAAATTAATATTAAGTATTTTAACAATGTCAGAATTTTAGTGTTGGCTAATTTTTGTAATTAATAACATATTTTCTACATTGCTTGCCAAGTGATTTGAGCTTGTCATGGCTTTGAGATTATCTTGACTTAAGACCAGCTAATCCATCATGGGTCACTGATATTCTTTCAACAAATGGCAGTTATCTGTTTCCTTAAATCATAATTGACATGCATGATGGTTTTAATTTTTGGTATTTTAAAGGGTAAAGTAACAAAATAAAGCCTGTATTTTGCTCTTTCACAAGATATTACATTACAAATAATTACAGCTATACTGCTTAGTAACACTGAATTGTATCTTGGGTTACTACTTCCCTCTGCAAACTATTTCTGGATGATATGGAACACGCACACAGCCATATTTTCTTAAATTAATGAAGCCCACTACCCAGTCTACAAGAGAGGAGACTATAAATGTTCATGTTTATGATCACGGTGTATGTTTATTGTGTCATATTGATTTACGGATAAACACTCGGACCGTGTATGCCGTACATATTTTAATACTGACATCACATTGCCATTTAAGATTGAATCTATTACCATATCAGGAAAACTTAAATAGTGTACTCCTTTCCAGAGGAGCATTAATGCATTTTTACTGCAGTATGTATGATTAATGTAATTTTTTTAATTAAAGCAAATGATGATGTAGCTATGTAGCGAATCTGAAAAAAATACGAAATATTGTACTGTAATGTCATTTTTTTGTAACAAAAGACCTTTAAAAAAAAGGCCATGCAGAGAAACAGTGTGCATGCATTTCATCCTACCTGCCCTTGTCATGAAGAATGTTGCATACTGTGGTAAAGATATCCCACTGATCTTCTAGCGGAACATCAGGTCCAGTAAATGCTGGCCCATTGTCTTCAAGATTCTCGTTCTTTGACCGACGAAGTTCCCGAATAGCTTCATACTTATTACTTAATTTCTTGTTGCTAAGCATGGCTTCTGCTTCATCCCGATTCCTGAGGGAAACAGATATATATTTGCATAAGACTAACAACTGGAATTCATTACTTCACAGAAAATCTAGGCTATAGCAATTCTGGGAATAATTGCAATATTACATAGCTCAGCAACAAAATGATACTGGTACTAAAAGTACAATATTAGCCTAATATGCTTGTATTTCCATACTTTCTATCAGATATAGTAAAGTATTCTATAACAAAAAATTGTGTTTGATAAAGCAAAGACTGTAAAACCAGTCTGTGTACACTCTTACCGGATATGAATGAAATGTCTGCGGAAAAGCAGTTTTGCAGCATTGATGAAATCATCAACAAGATTTTGGTCTAGGAGAATTTTGCACCGCTGATACAGAAGCTGGGAGTCAAGAGGTTCAGAGTCACTCTCTTGGTTGAGGATGAGCAGAGCTTCATCCAGGCGACCAAGAGATTGCAAAATTGATGAAAGAGTCAATCTGGCTTCAGCATGCTGTGGTGCTAATTTGACAACCTGATGATAGAAATAAAACGAGCCAATTACATTCTAAACCACTTCATACACTACTCTAGGCTACTTCAGTCAAAAACACACATTTCAAAAGACTCTCACCTGCAATCTATCATCTGTTTTGGCATTCATATTTCTCGTGCTTTGTATAGATATGAAGATACAATACATATACAAAATAAAAGAAATGCACAGCTTATTACTACAAAAATATCACAGTTGAATAATTTCATTAAAAATACATTAAATTGGTACCAGGGCCAGCTATCACAAGGAGTTGACCTCACCACCATGTGTCCGCTACATGCCACATGCGGTTGCAGCTGTTGTATGCTTGAGGTTCTGTTTGTCTCTACTGAAAAGCGAGTCATGGTATACAATTTTTAGCTTATTATATTGCTGTTTTATTGATCTTGTGCGAGGCAGACACACACATGTAGCTCCAGCTGAGGTTCACTGTCAGCACTTGAACAAGTGCTCAATCAAATCCTGAGATTGCGGAGTTGTTTACTCAGCTTCCAGTGCGCGAGCAACTGAGGACGCTTTCCTACGTGTCACTTACCCTAAGACAGTGACAGTGATTTATCAAGTGATACAGCACATCTCATATATGCATGCACATGTTCTTGAATACTTGCTTAAAACCCCTAGTGTTCACCAAATGAGCCTGACACAACACTGAAAACTGTCTATTTGAAGTGTTAAGCATAGGAAACATTTTGCATGAACAGTTTGAAGTACTGCAAACTCCATTCTTTATAAGTTGGATCCATAAGTCCTTCTAACATTAGCTTTTCATTGACAATTCATTAGTCATAAATATCCCCTTCAATATATACATAATTCTAGTACTGCATATAAATAAACTTATGTTTACAAATACTTCAAAACCTTACATAATCCTTTCTCTTTTGCACATATCACAGTCCTCTACTAATGGAATAATGTAGCCCGTCAAAAATAAATTATTGATGCTGATCGAGATCCCTTTCTTAGGTTGATTGCAATCGGCAACCTGTTGATGATTCCAAGGATCAACATCCCTTTAGCCCGGTCTCTGACCAAGCCTCCAGGTTGGTTGTCTTGTCAATCAGACTGTTCTAAGGGGTTGTTCATCTGTTCATCTTCAATGCATGTACCTTTACCTGAATACAAAATCTAATCTAATATTTAAACAGTCTTCTTTGATCAAACTCTCAAATCAATCATTAAAAGGGTACCTGGGAGTTAGGCAAGTGTTGCAAGTTATATCCTAGGAAAATTAAATAATTGGCCCCAGGGAGACCTCAATGAGCCTATCAGGCTTGCCCAGTAATGGAAAATTACATGGCTTAAAAAATACCCCCAAAAGCAAAAGTCAATCCCATACATTGCAAATGCCAAAAAACCTGCTGTTCAAGGTCCAATACATAATGAATAATTGCTTCAGTATATTTTACTTTATACATTACTTTATTCAATAATTTTTATAAGTGCACTATAGTCTGTTTTCAAAGCATAACTTAATATTATTAATTAGTATACTAACTCGAAAACTTGATTCTCGCTATTAGATTTCTAAAGAATATCTCCCCCAAATATAGATAAAAGAGGCACTACCAAAAATTTAACCATCCAATAATTGAGAAGAATTATTGCAATAATAAACAAGGTGATCAATGAGCATTATTAATAAATCTACTACTGTTATTCAGTTTCTTTCTATTGATGTTAACAGTCTTAAGGTTACTGGTTTCCAAGAACAGATCCATTCACATTCATATTTTAATTCATTAAAGGGATTACCACAGATGGTAAGAAACAAATTTGTATTTACAGTATTCATAGTTTATGATTGTAAATATGTTGGATGATAACTGCACTCTTCTCATCAAAAAACCACTAGTGACTCTTAACAACAAAACCTGACCTTCACTAAGGCACAAATGCAGTCAAAACTTTCTTCTGTGTTTTTTTTCCTAACAACATTCTTCTTCTTTTCTTGCAAGACGAGTTATTTCATGCATTCATTAGCAATTACTGTAATTCAAACTTACTTGACAATATGCCTGAGCTGCATCCTCCATTTGATCGACAGCTGCCAAACACTCTCCATATTGGAGCCACACAGCAGCTACATTGTAATGGTTTGAGTCGATCAGTGGACGTAACAGGGGTAGTGCTGCTTCGTGATTGTCCGCGCTCATATAGGCTTCTGCTATGTCTAAGTACAAGTCCCCAAACTCTTCCTCAGATTCACTGACAAAAACAAAACAAAGGCCTGTTTAACACTATTTTTGAGCAAAAATCTATAATAATTACAGAAATACAGTAGTTAAAAACAAAATAAAACAATATAACAATTTCATAATGAATATTTAAAATATTAAGTATTATTTGCTTAGATTTTTATTTAAATATTATTTGAAGGTTTGAATGTACTGGCTAAGTACCAGCCATGGCAATCTTTAACCCTATACTGGAATAGTACATGTCAATATGTGATATTTTATCATATCTTTGAGGTCTAGGGAATCTATGCACACATGGCTTGCCACCACTTGATGAACTACAGACACAGTGGCATCTGGAATGCAAGATGTAGAATATGAGCAATTGTTGTGAGATGGACCCCATCTCACAACAGGAGTGATAAATCTCATGAGATTGTTTACCACGAGGATTGGATTCAGAGGAACGTATCAAGCACTTAACCATCTGACTCCTTCACATGCACAACCAAAGTACTGTATCACACTCAAACTGAGTAGGGAAGTACAGTAGCTTCACAACCTGGATACAGGCTATAGAGAGCATGAAGTGCTCATGTAAGTCAAAGTGGAATCAATGGAAACCACATCATTTTATCTGTCAATGCTTTCAATCAAACTTAACTCTCCAACAAAGAAGAGGAAATACCAGCTGTAGAGCTGAGACAAGAAGCACCTTTCAACCCCTGACCAGTGTTGAGCCGATTCCTTACCCTAAACCATATGGAAGGACACAAGTATCAAGACTACCCCATGTCTAGTGGTGTGCTCCACTGGAACCACTAACCATTAAGTACTGATATTAATATGAAACGTAACATGGTGCATCAGTTTGGATTGGCGGTGCTTGTAAATAACTTGGTGACACAATACTTGGTTTGTGTGGCCAAATACTGCTACCAGGGGCAATACTGGTATCCAGCCATATCATTACCCATAATGCACATGTCCGGGTGTCTATTCCTGTGTTATTATATAGTTTATGTATCTTACATACATCTGAAAATAAGAGAGAACTAATCGAAGAAAATAAAATCCCAAACATTCTTACCACTTGAAAAAAAGCATGCAGAGCTGTGGAAAACGGCATGTTCACATTTTTGCTACATTTATTTATTTATATATACAGTATGCCCTTTATGCTTCAAAATGATCCTGGTAGTTTTGTAGTTTCATTCATTCCAATGGTACAGGCACTAAAGCTTTTTTGGGCTAGTGGCCAAATATCAGTGACTTTACCCTAGCTCAGAAATAGAAAGCCCTGTACTTAAAAATGCAAAATGGGTCTGGAGCCAGTCTGGATTGTCTAGGTTTTATATATATGGAGTCCTTTTTAGTACTTAGTAGACTTAAGAATGGGTTTTGGAAAGAAGGGGAAGGGAACTATAAGGAGAAAGCACCAAACCATTACGTAAGACTAATTAGAACTTGAAAGGATTAGAATAAGGGACGAGGTAGGAGGAACTGTTTATTTTTAATATACCTGTTACCTTAGTTTCTGGAAAGAGTGACCATCAAGAGCCACCATAATATCACCGAAGGATGGAGAGGGTTGGTCACAAAATACAAAAACTAAGGTAACAGTTAAAAAACAAGGGACAAATGCTAATTTATATATAGATCTGCATCTCCCATTACTTTTAGAAGATTCATTATAAATTGAAGATGTGATTTTCACAAAATGTAATGTAAACAATTTTCAGATTGTAAGCAAAATATATGCTTAGATTTAGATTTCATCAAATATAGTATTAAATATTGTACTTACTTCATCAGCAACTCCACTAGAGGGTCAGCAAGTTCAAAGGCCTTAACATGGATAAGAGCGACAGTCAGCTTAGTTCGGAGATCAATCGGCAGGTCAAGAGGAACAAAACATTCAGTAGCGACTGATAGCTGGTCTTCTAACTCTCGTTCTTGCAATTCTTCTTCATCGATATCCTGTCAAATTATAAATTCATATGAGAAAATCTCCAAAATCTTTGTGGACCTGCAGACCTCTTATTGTCCACACAGGTACTGTGTGGACAATACTTCCACACAGTATTCCCTTCCTTTTACTCCTGTAAAAGGAAGGAAAGGGAACAATCAGAGAGAAAGTGCCAAGCCAATAGACTATATAGCACTGGGAATGGATCAGGATAAGGACTTGGGATGGGATGGGGAAAAGGAATGGTGTCCAACCACTTGGACAGCCGGGAATTGAACGCCAGCCTGGATGAAGCGAGACTGTTGCTCTACTGTCCAGCCCAAGTGGTTGGGTCCGTAAAAAGGAAGCAACAATTCTTTTCTTGGGCATCACCTTTAGGTAGCACCGAATTGGTTATTTTCCACATTTGTTATGCTATACCTCCTCATTATTTCTATACATTTCCCACATGCTTAAAGTACACTGCAGTTCTTCCACAGTTTATGAGATTCAACACTAATTGTATGTAACTTTTTTTTAAATACTTATTTATCATTATCCTAAATTTTCAGCATGATTTATAATGAAACAAATATGAAGTTACATCAACAACAGTTGATTCTCAGCATAAACATGATAGGAATATTGATGAACTGAATCTATGAAAGGTAAATACCCCGATCTTTAATCAGGTTCACGAAGTTAATGTTTGACTATTCAGGACGTTAATTTCAGTGCCAATCTAAGTCATTGGTACCGAGAATATCAAACTACTTGTACAATAAAACTAAGTATGAAAATCAGCCTCAGATCACACATTTTGCTTCATTATTTTTAGTGTCTCTTTTCTTTTGAAAGGAGGGGAAAGGGTGATAGTTTCCTTATTTTTAATAGTGTGCATCTCTATGAAGAAAGAGGTACGTTCTTTTTGTGCACACTGTCCCTTGAAAAATCATTAAAAATATATTTCATAGAAGAAAAAACTGCTTTTGCAGACCTTTTTAAAAGTAGAAGATATGGATCAAGGCTAAAAATATTACAAATCTGTTAAATATCATCATAAATACAAGAAAACAGATTATTAAGGAATTTTATGTAGTTTAAGCATACAAATATTTACTCTGCTCTATTGTTTCCTACATGGATTTGTACTAGTAGTTGTACTGTAGTAGTAGTAGTAGTAGGCATCCATCAGTCTCAGGAGACTATGGAGTTACATTCTGGTTGACGGTCTGGAATGGCTTCTCCAGGGCGCAAAGCCAAGGTAGGGTGACACAGGGGAAGAAGCTGTCACCCATGCAACAGGCCCCCTCTCCTTTTCCACGAGGGAAGAGGGGGTAACCTTTAAATTATAAATTACACCTTGTTACCTTATGTAACAGACGTACGCCCCCATGAAGAACGAGAATTTGTACACAGCGGAGATATTCTTGTTGATGCATCAAGACTTCCAGCATAAGGTTGACGTCCTCGGGGGTGACATACGACGGGTACTTTGTGAAAGCCGTTTCCATTGCATCTCGAGCTAGGTGGACATCCTTGTTCTCGTAATGAATTTTTGCGATCTCTTTGGCCAGCTTGAGACCATCCTGCAATCAAGATACAAGCAGACTAAAATATATCCACAAACCCTTCCATCTTTCGACCACTCATGCTATAATTCTTCCCCCCTTTATTTATTTGATGTCTTCCTAAATTTTCATATTGGCAGGTGCAGTTTAATGCTGAAAAATGTAGGGTTCTGTGTCTAGGTAATAATGATAAGTTTCCAGATCAATGTTCCCAAGTGGTGGGTTGCAAGGTTCTTTGAGACACAGATTTAGAAAATAAGGATGTTCCCCACCAATAAAAGGTTGGCAACTACTGAGCTAAATAATGTTAAAATTGCAAAATTTAATGGCACTTGATTATGAAAAAGATCCTGGGAATCAGGTTAATAAGGGATCTAAAGCAAAACAAACAATGCATATATGTATGAAACATGAAACAAAGCAAACATGATACAGGAATGTATTTCTAGAAGCTTCAGCAATAAAGCATCTAATGTTATTCTTCAGCTTTATCTTTCTCTTGTTAGACCCCATTTACATTATGCAGTTTAGTTTTGGTCACCATACTATAGGTTGGACTTCAACAGGTCCAACAGAATGACAAAGTTAATCCTAGGAAATAGAAACCTCACATATCAAGATAAATTAAGAAAGCTTAATTTACATTCTCTAGAAAGGGCCAAAAAGCAAGGGGTGTTGTGATTGAAGTGTACCAATGGATGAAACAGTATAAAAAAAATGAATATAAATAAAAATGTTAAATATATAAACACTAAATAGAACACAAGTTTAAATTCATAAAAGACCATGTTAGTCCTTAAAATGTGGGCCCAATCACCTGGACTGGAAGGTAGAGCGACAGTTTCGCTTCATACAGGTCGGCATTCAATCCCCGACTGTCCAAGAGGTTGGGCAATATTCCTTCTCCCCCCCCCCCTTTCCCTATCCCATCCCAAATCCTTATCCTGACCCCATTCAAGTGCTATATAGTCTTAATGGCTTGGCACTCTTCCCTGATAATTCCCTCCCTCCCTCCCTTAAAATGCGGTTACTGTATTATCATACATTGATCCTTTGTACTAGAGTTCAACTCAAGTAAATATAAAGTAATGAAGATATCAATGTAATGTGGTTGTCATCATATGTTGACTTTAGTTATTATTTCCTGGTTTTTAAACAAATGATGTAAATATGGGTTATGATATATTTATGAGGATGCGGTGAAGTTAACCCACACCTGTGAAAAACCATTTTGCTATTGTTTATAGTTGTTTACTGTATGAAGAGGTTATCTTCTTCATATAGTATGAAGAGCTAGATTTTACTCCCCATAAAATGTGAGCACTACCAAGTAATTCAATACTCCATACCACTTTACATGAATTAGCAAGTACGCTGTATAACCTTACTTCTCTGAGTTTCTTTCACTTCCTCTCTGACAAAGTTACTTCATTCTATTCTACATTCTCACTTTCCTTGACCTACCTCTTGCATAAAACTAGCACATTATTAAACTGTTCATCCTTAGAAACGATACCAGTTCTCGCTTCTGTCATTCCCGCTGGTTCTACTAACATTCTAACGCAATGCTTAGAATTGCAATATCTTAATCACAAATGTCTTTCAATTATCCAATATTTTTTCCCCATGAATATTTACTATCATTAATTTTCTCATTTCACTTTTATCACAACTATTACTTACCTTTCCCTGATCAGTTCTCAGGTACTTGAGCATGTGTGAGTAGCCCTTCAAAGCTTTCAGTTTCTCTCCCAGCTGCTCAAGGAGGTCACATCGAGCCCAGTGGTAGTCCAGATTCTGTGGGTTGGCTTTAATAGCTCGGCCCCAACAGAACACTGCTTGCTGGATATCTCCCTAGAAGAAGGATGATTTTGACATTTGAGAGATTAGAATGGCATTATTTCTAATTAAATGAAGGCATAATTGATAAAACATCCGAGCAGATGATCACAGAGCTTGTAAGGACGAGGATGGATGAGATTGCTACTTCACCTGTAATTATCTAAGTAATTACCTAAGTGTAGTTACAGGATGAGAGCTATGCTCGTGGTGTCCCATCTTCCCAGCACTTTTTGTCATATAATGCTTTATACTACTATATGCTGCAATAGCAGTATAAAGTAGTATAAACTATACTTTATACTAAGACCTGTGGCTTAATAGTGTCATTATTATTGAGTAATCTATTTCATTTTGCTTGCAGCATAACTGTGGCAGCAGTATGCTGGCGACTTGATTGTTAGTCTGATTTCATAAAACACATATTCTCAAAACTAATACAGTACATGTATAATATTACTAAATCATACTGATACATTGTCAAATATTTTGCATAAGAAACAAAAACAATAAGGAACATTTATGTACAAGCTAATATTCAATACAAACGGACCAACCTGATGAAGAGACAAGTCGGCTAACTTCTCCCATTCCTCAGCATTTGGGCTAAGAAATGCCGCAATGAGGAGAAACTGCAAGGACTTGTTCACCATCTTCTTCTCTTCATATATCATTCCTAAGGTCTGTCAAATGATAAGATATTTTCAGTCACACTGCTAAAACTGTTATTAAAAAAGTAAGCTATGAATTTATTTATTACAGTATCTGTATAATGTTAGTGGAAAGCAAATATTGTTGTTATTCAACTTCAAAAATATAAGACAAAGTGAACTCCCTAATCAATGTTGATATACAGTACTGTACATTACTGAACATCCTGGATAAAACAGTGTGTGTTGCAAGACTAAAAATTTGATGACAACAAATTATATTACGCACTTATGTACCTATTATAATACAGTACGGTATGTACAATTTTATTTGCACACTGCACAGTATTTGAGGTGATATAGCTAGATTGACAGTGTGAAACTGAAATAATAACCAGCTACAGTATACTGTATTTTACAAGCTTTCTGAAAAGAGGCCCCATGGCTTTCCCAAGCTCAAGGCTGAATCAGTGGTTAAGATTTTCCAAGTACTATACTATGTGTTTTTTAGCCTGATTAAACCTATATTTAAGAAGATATGTTTGAATATATTTTGAATAACCCTTGTGGGACCTCCACAGAACAAAGGTCATAATTTAACAAATTAAAAGCAGTCACACCGTCTTCAAAATAGGCTCACTGGCTTTCTATACCCAAAACTGTTTCTTTGGGTAAAGATTTTGTATAAATTGTTGCTGAGCAAACCGGCTCACCCTGGTGCTGACTAAAGGCACGATACTATTGATCACTAGTTAGGCTGTCACAATCATAACAGGTAGCTATTCAGACAGTTCATAATGGATCAACCTTGACATTAGGGAACACCCAATCAAATGATGATAGAAAAGTGCATAACATAACCTCAAAAGCCTTTCCAGTGGAAAGTTGGCATCATGGACATGCCAAGCAGTGCTCTAGCTAACTACTGATTCATCCACTAGGACATTAAAATGCTACAAGTTGCAGCACCGACACCACAACAAAGCTTTTTAACCCAAACTACAGTATTCAATTTGCATCCTGACTAACCATGGCTGCAGGCCATGAAGGCATACGGAGAACAGTACTTCAGTTAAGTAGTGTGTATTATCCATAACCACTTCAGGTTTTGTTTGTGCATTAAGATTATGATAAATTTGTGAACATTTCTCACGTATGTGTTGACAAGCCCTTCGTGTGTCTGGACATTAACTGACAAGTGATCAAAGATATAATTTTTGTGCCTGGTAGGTTTGTGTTTTCTGCAGTGGTGACTCTCCTCTTTAGTTTCCCTTCTGTGACGAACATAAATTCCTCTATAGTCTAGCAATAAGCATAATCGCCAAGGAATTTTATATATTTTAGATTAAAAATAGAAAAAAAAAATTAAATATGTTAATCTGTCTTATTTTTCCTACATACACTGTAACTTATTGTGTTCTCATTTTTTTTTTACATTTCATATTTTTGTTAATCATTATTTTGTAGCCCTAAATAGTGGCCGAGTCTTGAAAATGAACACGATACAGTATTCCAATTAATGTTATCACTTATTGCTGCAAAAACCATTAAAAAGTTTCTTCTAAACTTCAGTCTGGTGCTGGTGACACATTAGCCCTACAAAGTCAAAGCAATGCAAATTGAAGTGCTTTATTTCTTAGGAAAAACCACTAGTATTGCAAACAAATTGCTCACTTTCTGCACTTTTACTGCCTTGCTTCTTGATATCACTGAACAAACTGTGCATCTTGGTCTAAATCAACGTTGTATCCTGAGGGCACGTGGCGCTGATTCTGGTGCTTGGCCCCCATGCCCAGCAATTCCTTTATATTTTACACTAAGTGCACTGTGCTTCCTTGTTTGTGTTACTTCATTTACTAGCATCATGCTTTGTGTCTTGGCAATAATACTGGTGCTATATAGTAAGGGCAATAATAGTAAGAGCAGTTTGTGTGGTAAAGGCCTCAAGTTCTGTTACTCGAGTTGCTAACTTTTTTCTCCAGATTTAAAAAGTGCTATATTATATAATCCTTCATTTCAAGCAAAATAGCCTTTTTCTTCATCTTTTGAGCAACATTGCTACTATGTGCATTAACTGGCCTCTTAGAGCACACTGTGGACAGTGTGTACTGAGATAAAAAGAAAAAGAAAATGAATGAAAAGTTTGTAAATGAGGGAGCTCCCATGATGAGGCAGTCTGGCAAGCATAATAAGTGAAGCAACATAAAAGGAGATGGTGTGGTGGACTAGGAAGCTGGGACGAGCTGCCTGAAGTAAACAGTTGGAGGCTGCCATGCATTTCCCCACTGCCTTTACCACCAAACATTATTCAGATTTTTTTTTTTATGTAACCAAACCACACGTCGGAAAATGGAGAAACAACAGCTTTTAGTCCATCCTGGACTATTATCAAGTCGTGTGAGAGAAGAGGCCAGTACTGGCAAATAAATAAGGCAAGAGAGTGAGGTAAGAATAAGATGAAAGGCAAGAATACGATGATAGGTAAGAATGGGATGAAAGGTAAGAATGGGATGAGGTAAGAATAAGAATAAGAGGAAGGTAAGAGGAAGGTAAGAGAAAAGATAAGAAAAAGAAAAGGGGAAAAAAGGGGTAGGCTTAAGTCGCGTCACATTTGTTTAAAAGGTTGGGGCATTTAAGTATGTACTGTAAAAGGGAAGAGTCAACAGCAACAAAGCCAGGACTATGGTTCATGTTGAGCATGTTGTGGCAGGATTTTTTTTTAATTCAAGGGCCTCGTTATAGTCAATTCTCTCTTAAGAATGTGTAACAATGAATACTCACCTGCACTGCAAACTACGAAATGGTGCTAGAATATTTCAAGTAGTCAAATGTACCTGGTATGGCTCCGGTGAATGTGAAAACTGTCTTATAACCTCCATGCACATCTTTATAGCTTCGTCGTATTCGCAGCGGGCGTACCGCAGGTTGGCTTCACCCATGAGGCCCTGCAAAGCGGCTGGCAAACGTCGTCGTCTCCGTTTTTCTTTACCGCCTTTACGCTTCAACTGGTATCTGAAAGTAATTACAGTACCCAATATATTTTGTTATCACAATATTGTCTGGCTCAAGATGATATTAAATGTTTAAAAAAACATACACCAGATAAGTACTTTTGCAGAATTAGTCCATTCTACAAACATCATATTATTCTTTTGAAATCTTAATTATTTTGACATTCTCCTCTTGAAAAACATATGCATTACAGCAAGCATTCTCAACATGAGCGATATCATCTTCTATGGCTGAGAGTTGAGTTGAGGGGGAATGGCCGATATATTACAGTACTGTTTTGTCAAACACAGTCTGAACACAAACAGGGAGCCGGTCGGCCGAGAGGACAGCATGCTGGACTTGTGATCCTGTGGTCCCGGGTTTGATCCCGGGCGCCGGCGAGAAACAATGGGCAGAGTTTCTTTCACCCTATGCCCCTGTTACCTAGCAGTAAAATAGGTACCTGGGTGTTAGTCAGCTGTCACGGGCTGCTTCCTAGGGGTGGAGGCCTGGTCGAGGACCAGGCCGCAGGGACACTAAAGCCCCGAAATCATCTCAAGATAACACACTTGAATTCTTAAAAAACCAGCGTTGAATGTAATGAAACGCCATTTTCTGGGTGAGACCCGGAGGCTCCCCGGAGCTTTACCGGCTGATATGCTAATGTCAGACTTTGGCATCAGTCATGTGTATGGAGTTCTAGGGCCTACCGGGGACCACGAGCCAGAACCTGGCCCCCTCAGAGAGGCAAGGGGAGCAATGGCCTATAGAAACCCCCGTGTGGTTGGAAGCATTCTATGTCTGCCATCGACCGGGTCAAGCATCCAGAAAGGTAAGCATTCCAAAACAAACCCCTATTCTGGTGAAAATTGCTACCTAAGCCGAACTAGTGAATAGAACTCTTCAACAGAAAACACGGAAACTAGTATGACGTCATACGTCACCGCGCCGCTGTCTGCGCAGCTCCCCCCTCCCCGGGAGGGGGAAGGGGGAGCCCCAGACCTCCCACGCCGGCTATCCACCCATCAGTTCTGAGGCTGGATGTCAAAACACGCGAAAAACGCCGACCGGAGGGAGGGAGGGTTGCCGGGGAGCCTCCGGGTCTCACCCAGAAAATGGCGTTTCATTACATTCAACGCTGGTTTTCTGGGGGGAGCCCCGTCGGCTCCCCGGAGCTAACTACCCACAGAGGAAGGTCAAAGGGACAAAACCGGGAGGCGGACACCACGCACCCCCCAAGGAGGCGAGACAACCGGCAGCAAACGCCAACCCAAGGCGCCACAGCCCCGAAAATCCCGGGAACAACACGAGAACCACGAGCAGCAAGGCCCCTGCACGAACACCAAAAATCCATGCCCGAAAGACTGCAAGGCCACGTCGCCCAGACGGCAGCGAGAGCAGCGAAGCCACGAACGCCACAGGCATGAGGGAAGAACACAGGCAGCTTAGCCACAAGAACACGGCTGACCACCCGGGACACCATCACCCGCGAACCGGGAAGAACAGAACCGGATCAACGCAAAACGCGCTCCGGACCCAAACGCCGTGGCACGCAAACAACAGCAGAGGGCCGCCACTGAACACAAAAACGACACACCCCCGGCCCGACCAACAAAGCACCAACAAACCCTGGACCCCTCCAGAATGCAGCAGCCCCACCCCGCGCCAGAAAAGATGGAGACTGCTGCCATCAAACAACCAAAACGCTAAAACCGAAGGAGCAAGAAAACACAGCGAACCGACCCCCAGAGGCAAAGGCCCAAAGGAAAGAGCCGACGAAAAAACACACCGGAACCGAAGGGGCACTACCAACCGAGGAGAAGACAGAGCACGCTGACCAGAGACCAGGATGGTGCAAGCGGCGCACGAACAGGCCGGAGGTGAAATGACGCACAAGACAGCTGACTAACGGTGCAGAAGCAACACCAAGACCGAAAGCAAGCTGAAGCGGCTCCGCCTGCGCCGCACGAAAAGAGGCGACAGTATGTGGCAAGACGACGGCCCCCAACCCCCACTAGAAAACCAAGCCGAGAGTAAACCAAGCCAACAAGAAGGACCCACCGAAGAAGGGACAGGAAAAGGAAGGACCGCCAAAATACCCCATACTGCCGCCAAGAAGCACGCAGGTGGGACACCTACCACGAAGCCACCCGACCACCAACCGGAGGCGAGACCACGAGGCAGAACATAAGCAGCCCCGACAAGGCCCCCCCGAGCCCAGGAAAAAGGCGGAGCCGCAAGAAGATCTCGGGCGCGACCACCGAAACCCAGGCGGCACAAGGAGATGGAACGTCTGCCGAACAGAAAAACTCCGAAGCATGCAAGCCCGCCAGGAGTTCAGAAACGACGGGTCCGACGCGAGACATCGCAAGAACCCCCCCAAAAAAAATAAAACAACAACAACAACCGGCAGGGCAAGCTAGGAAAACCAAAGAAGGCGGAAGGGTCGCCGCCAGAACAGGACCCGAACCAAGGGGCCCGAACAACTGCAACAGACCGAGACAAAGAAGCACATCACAGGACACAGGCTGACCAACGCCTAAGAACACACGCAGAACATTCCTGCTGCAGAAGAGGCAGGAAGAAAGAGCAGAAGCACAAAAAAAAAAAAAAAACCAGGAGAACAACCAGGGGTGGACAATCAGGCAGGGACAAAAACCCCACGCAATCCCCAGGCACAAAACGGCAGCAAAGCGCCACTCCACAACCGGACACAGGAACAAGGACACGCCACCGTGAAACACGGTACCAATGCTCACGTGCAGCAGCAGCAGCAACAGGCACCACTGCAACATGCAACATGTAAATAGCAACTCCCCTCTGCAAAGGCAGAGAACGGAGCAGGCAGACCCCAGACAGGGCCAACGGAGACACGACAAAACCCTGCAGGCCCAGAAACCTGCACCAGGCGACCGACGGCGGAGAAACCCCGCTCGATACCTGCTGGATGAGGTACTGGGAGCTCTTTTACACCTCAAGCCCGGCCCAAGGTCAGGCCAGACCGGCCAGAGGATGGCCCACCAGGCAGCTGCTAGGAGCAGTCCACCGGCCCACATACCCCCACAACCAGGACGGGCCGGAACTGCCATACGAAAACAGGCCAGTGCGCCCTGGAAGTCCACGGACGAACCAGCAAGAAGGCTTATGCTCGCAAGTAGGTCGTGTAACAAGCACAGACCACTGATGGTAATACAGTGTTCCCCAAAAGTGCCAATAGCACCACTGCACTCCACTGGTACTATCCCGCAAGTTCTACCAGATAGGCGGGACCCAAGAGCCAGAGCTCAAATCCTGCAAGCACAGCCAGGAGCCTCACCAGGTGAGTACAGAACAAACCCTACAACCCCCACACCTCACAACATTAAAAAAGGAGGGTCCCCTGAACGACTGTAGCATGGGTTGGACATGCACAGGAGGGGGACAGGAAGGGGTGATAAAGGGACAGTCACTGGTGTGCGAACGGTCTCAGTCGTACAAAATTATACCTAAATAAAGACAGGTATATGAACACCGCCGCATCCAGCGCCCGGCCAAAAGACGCCAGACTGCAGAAACTCACCTGGCGAATGGTGGCTCGAACTTGACACGACTCAACCGTGCCCAGAAGAACTTGGGAGCACCGCCAGGTGAAGACGCCAGAGCCGGACCCGCAGGAGAACAGGGAGAGGCGAAGGAGGCGGTCCACACCCATGACACAGAAAACCGCGGTGTCCTCCCCACAACTGGGAACCAGGACACCCCTGGCGCAAAGGGGCACATACCGCAGCCAGGGAGAAGAACGAGAGGCGAAGCACTGTAGCAAAAAAGGGCGCAAAACCCCAGCACTGAACCATCGCCCAGACCAAAACAAACTCCACGGCGCATGCGCATAACACGCTGGCCGAACCGCACACCCTCCCTGCGGGAAGGCGCCAGCCAGGACTATTGCACGAGAAAAAGAGCCAAAAGAGGAAGCAGGAACAAGAAAACCGGCCAAAGAAGCAAAGAGCCCAAAAAAAGGGAACCCAAACGGGCGACAAGTAGCCCAAACGGGCGACAAGTAGCCCAAACGGCCGACAAGTAGCCCAACCGGGCGACAAGTAGCCCAACAGGGCGACAAGGAGCCCAACAGGGCGACAAGGAGCCCAACAGGACGACAAGGAGCCCAACAGGGCGACAAGTAGCCCAACAGGGCGACAAGGAGCCCAACAGGGCGACAAGTACTAGGAGCCGACAGACGTTCCAATAATGCGGGAAGTAGCGAAAAACCTTCCCGTACCCTCGAGAACACAGAAGCCAACACTAGTCCCGAAGGCACACGAAGGCGCAGGCGCACCCGAGATCAAAAGTCACGCAGAACCCCATCGAACGGGGAAACATGACAAAAACACCGTCCCAAAAAGCGGGGGAGGAAACATCCACCCACAGGACGGAACCAACCGACTCAAAGGCCAAGGAACCGAGCCCGGGGAGGGGCCGACGTCCAACAGCACGTACGGCGAGTGGGGAGGAAAAACCCCACTCCGCGTAACCACAAGCCCCGCCTAGAGGGGGATAAAACCCCCCACGGGGTCTAACGGGGCCAAGGCCCCCCAAGTCAGCCCCTCCCCAGCCCCGGGAACCTACACGACAGGCCCCGGGGCCGAGCCGTTCCCCCAAAGCCCCGGCCGTACCAGAAAACCGGGGCAGCCGTGAAAACACTAAGGAAGGGAGCCCACTGGCAGACTCATACAACACGGCTGGAGGAACAGGCCCAAATGCCCCCGTCACTACCCCGGAAGGGGAATTCCCCGAGACTGCCCGAGTCTCAACACCACCAAACACCCCGCCCTGAACCTACAGACGGTAAGGAACCGGATGCAGGCAGGAAGGGTGAACCAGGGGAAAAACGAAATACAACGGGGCAGCCCCGGGGCTCCCGGGGAGGAAACCACGAGAACGTTGCCACCACCAAGGCTCAAGTGCAACGCCCCTGCTGCCCGCACCCGCTTTGTTAGCACAACTGGGTAACCGAGCCACAACGAGCAACCAAACTCGCAGGACACCGGGTCGAAGGTGTCACCGACCCCACAGGCAGCAGACGGAGGCAAAACAGAGAGTCACCCAGAGACAAAAGGTGAGAGCAACCCTCAAACTCGCTGGAAGCGAGGGGGGGGCTCTGGGGTCACATCCATCGGACCCGCGCGCCCCCAGGGGTTTCCCAGGGTCCCGAGCGTTTACTTTAAGAGGACTCGCGCTCAGGTAATCCCAGGCAGGGTACTGCTAACCGGCACCCAAGCTACCAAACAACTTTCTAAGAGCTGAACCCCCGGGACGTGTACACTCACGGGGACCTAGCAGGGGGTACCACCAGAAATACTCAGAACACAAGGGACACAAGGGGCAAGAACGAAGGCAGACCCCCCCACCAGGTATATAAACAAAAGAAAAAGAAAACCCCGCAAGAGGACAGCGTACCCAAGCGGAACAGAGCCGGCCGCTATGATTGGTAAAGACAAGCTGCACAGTACCCCGCGCCCCACCAGTGCAAACACTGCCCCTTACTCTAAGGCGAACAAGGGAGACAGAACACCCGAGCACACAAAGAGCGGCCGAAAACCAAGCGGTAAACGGCCAAGCAGGGGCAGGACCCAAGGAACTTGTGGAAGGTGGCCCCAAGCCCCAAGGGCAGTACTTACAGGGCACCTAGGGAAGGGAACCCTAGGCGCATGCAGCCCGAGTACTGAAGAATCACACCCGGCTCACGCACCACCTAGAAAACAGACACCACACTCTAGGTACAGTGCTGAAACAACCACTGGAGCCGGAGCACATAACCATTGCCTATAGCATCAGCCGAAGAACTGATGGGTGGATAGCCGGCGTGGGAGGTCTGGGGCTCCCCCTTCCCCCTCCCGGGGAGGGGGGAGCTGCGCAGACAGCGGCGCGGTGACGTATGACGTCATACTAGTTTCCGTGTTTTCTGTTGAAGAGTTCTATTCACTAGTTCGGCTTAGGTAGCAATTTTCACCAGAATAGGGGTTTGTTTTGGAATGCTTACCTTTCTGGATGCTTGACCCGGTCGATGGCAGACATAGAATGCTTCCAACCACACGGGGGTTTCTATAGGCCATTGCTCCCCTTGCCTCTCTGAGGGGGCCAGGTTCTGGCTCGTGGTCCCCGGTAGGCCCTAGAACTCCATACACATGACTGATGCCAAAGTCTGACATTAGCATATCAGCCGGTAAAGCTCCGGGGAGCCGACGGGGCTCCCCCCAGAAAATAATTCTAAATTAAAATATACAGATTTGGATTTTATTCTACTTATTTATTGCAAATTCATGTACCGTGTTCAGTTTGACATAAACATGTTTTAAACATATTGCGGTCTGTACATGACGCCTAATGTCTGGTAGACATCAGGACTTGTGTCTGGCAGTTTCTGCCAGACATAAGTCATGCCTGCCAATGGCAAGCAGTTGCCCTTTGCCATGTGTGTGTACTAACCTAGTTGTGCTTGTGGGAGTTGAGCTCTGGCTCTTAGGTTCCGCCTCTCAACTGTCAATCGAATGGTGTACAGAGTCCTGAGCCTACTGGGCTCTATCATATCTATATTTGAAACTGTGTATGGAGTCAGCCTCCACCACATCAATGCCTAATGCATTCCATCTGTTAACTACTCTTGACACTAAAAAAGTTCTTTCTAACATCCAAGTGGCTCATTTCAGTACTCAGTTTCCACCTGTGTCCCCTTGTTCGCGTACCACCCGCGCTCGCATGCGTGCATGTGCGTGTGCGTGTGTGTGTGTGTGTGTGTATTCACCTAGTTGTGTTTGCGGGGGTTGAGCTTTGCTCTTTCGGCCCGCCTCTCAACTGTCAATCAACTGTTTACTAACTATTTTTTTTTCCACGTCACACACACACCCCCCAGGAAGCAGCCCGTGACAGCTGACTAACTCCCAGGTACCTATTTACTGCTAGGTAACAGGGGCATTCAGGGTGAAAGAATTTTTGCCCATTTGTTTCTGCCAGGTGCGGGAATCGAACCCACGCCACAGAATTACGAGTCCTGCGCGCTATCCACCAGGCTACCAGGCCCCCCCTCTATCAGGCTACCAGGCCGCTGGTAGTATATACACTGTATAGTATACAGGCCGCTGACTCTAGTATACAGGCTGCTGACTCTAGTATACAGGCTGCTGACTCTAGTATACAGGCTGCTGACTCTAGTATACAGGCTGCTGACTCTAGTATACAGGCTGCTGACTCTAGTATACAGGCTGCTGACTCTAGTATACAGGCTGCTGACTCTAGTATAAAGGCTGCTGACTTTAGTATACAGGCTGCTGACTCTAGTATAAAGGCTGCTGACTTTAGTATACAGGCCGTTGACTCTATTATATAGACCACTGGCTCTAGTATACAGTTCGGTGACTAATATACAAACCGTTGTCTCTAGTATACAGGCTGCTGACTGTAGTATACAGACCGCTGACTCTACTATACAGGCCGTTGTCTCTAGTATACAGGCCGTTCTCTCTATCAGGATCAGGCTACCAGGTGTGTGTGTGTGTAATTACAGTACCTAAGTGTAGTTACATGATGAGAGCTACGCTCGTGGTGTCCCGTCTTCCCAGTATTCTTTGTCGTATAACACTTTGAAACTATTGACGGTTTTGGCCTCCACCACTTTCTCACTAAGCTTGTTCCAGCCGTCTACCACTCTGTTTGCAAAAGAAAACTTTTGCAAACAAAAGAAAACTTTTGCAAACAAAAGAAAAGTTTTATATAATATACAAATACTGTATTATATCTACTATGATAACAACTGTAATATGCTCCTCTGAATATTTTAGGAATAAAGTAAATTTATTATTACACTCGGATAAATACGCAAACAGTAGATACAGGTCACCAAACTTCTTTATCACATTCATATACTGGGTACCATCAAAAATAATATTACCGCTGTTGTTCATTAAGCTCCTTTTCAAACTCGGCTGCATGATCCTCTTTCACCTCAAAAGTGCCTTCGGGAGCTGGTGGAATGTCCTCTACATCACTGTCTGCATCAGCATCTTCTCCCCACAGAGCTGCCACCTGCAACATATGGCTATGTGAAGTAGGCATATAGCAAAAAATAAGTAGGGCTTGACCAAATTTGATATTAAGAAATAAAAAACGACCATGATACACAATTAATAACAGAAACTGATTTGCTAATACACAAATTTTTTTTTATTTTGCCCTGGATGGAAAAAGCCAGCATTGAATGTAACAAAATTCCTCTTTCTGGGTGAGCCTCCTGGTGGCTCTTTGCAGCTACCTGACCGAGATGTCTCCCAACAACTAGGTAACAATAGCTATGGTTTCCTGTTTGGCGTACCGGGTATGAACACTAGAACCCGGCACTACAACCAGAGCTTTCATATATTATAACACTTTAAGATTTAAGTTATTTTCATTACTCTCTGTGTGAAGTTAAATCAAGCTAAATGATTAGCTTGAAGAAAAAGGTGCAAAGTCAAAAAAGTTGTTTAACAGAGAAAACTTAAATTTATGGTAACTATCAATACAAATATGCTTAAGAAACCAGTTTTACAAATGCTACCTGTAATGAATATGCAAATTTAAGTACATTTCTATTTTAATATTAGCAATCTCAATAACAATTCTTAACAATCAATAATAATTCTTCAAAAATTTATTTAAAGAATTTGCTCAAGACTTAATTCCATTGCCTACCCTAACAAGAAAGTGTTACGATTATCTTTTCTCTAACATCTAAACTGTTATACAGGTACAGTATTTCTTTAATTAATTCAAGTACACAAATGTTATTTTACAGTACCTCTGAGAAGGACATTCCATCTGTCATAAGACGATTTATGAGTTCATCCTGACTTTTCCTGTCCACGGGCTCTGTAATGGGTTCCTCGTCATCTTCCGTTTCTTCTCCTGTTGCTTCTGCTACTGTCATATGCAAATAGTTCTCCATACTAACATCCACTGCTTCAATTGTTGGAATTGTCTGCAAAACCAAACAAAACTATTGACATTTACCTGAATTCACCTGAGGGCCACTAATACTAGTGACCTCGACGAGAACAGGAAACTGGTGACTTGTCAAAGGCCCCACCCCCCCTCGTTTGCCTGAATGATCTTTTCTATCTGTATTTTAAAACCCAGCAGAGTTTTGGCGTTTTTTTGGCTTTGGTGGGAAGGCGGTTCTTCGGGTTTACAACCCTATGGGTGAAAAAGCAGCTCCTCTTTTCTGTCATACATTGTGGCTTGTTGAGCTTGAACCCGTTGCTTCTCATTCGTGTTACATCTGACCTTTTGAAGAAAGTGTCCAGATTGACCGTCCAAATTGTTTAGCATTTTGAAGGTTTGTATTAGATCTCCCCTGTCATGCCTTGTCTGCAGCGTTGTTAGCCCAGTGGCCCTCAACCATCATATAGAACAGTATCTGCTCTAATAATTTTATTATATGTCACTTTCAGAACTCCTATTTGCACTCTGGAAATTAATACAAAACAATTAAGTGAATTTAAATCCATGAAAAATCCATTGTTTCTGGGAAAGCCCCCAGTGCCTCCCTGAAGTTATCTCGTTGAGTTTGCTCCATGCAAATGGGTCACATCAGATGCAAGAGTTCTCGTTGGCCTACTGAAGACCAGTAACAAAATCTGACTCCCTTAAAAGAGGCATAGAGAGCAAGTGACAATTCACCACCACACCTGGAAGGAATCCAGAAAGTCAGCTATGCTTTACAGACAACTAGAAGGTTAACAAAGCTCCAAGCCTCGAAACCATCAAAGTCCACAAACAATTCACATGGAACAAGAAAAACATTCAAAATTAGAGTGAAACTCACAGACCATTTGCTTTGCATTATGTTCTAGATTTCAGTTTTTGTTTCACATGCATGTTTTTTATCCAGCTTGTAGGGTGGGTTTGGCTTTGCTTTGCTTCAGCTGCATGTGCTTTGGTTCCCTTCCCAGGGTGCCCACTAGCACTGCCCCTGCACTGGTCAAGGCTTTCGGGTCGAGTAACCTTCCCGCCACTGTATTCTGGTCACCTAGCCTCAGGAATGGTCAAATTGACCTTGTCCCTTTGGTGGGTATTCTGGTTGTTCCCACTCCTGAAGAGGGACTCAGCAGACCTACGATAATGATCAAGGGTCACAGGCCTAACAATACTGCAAACCAGACATGTCAGGACTGATCTCATCGAGACTTTTAAAATACCAAACAATTTGGAGAATATTAATTCAGACCACTTCTTTCAAACAAACATGAAGCAATGGTTTCAAGCTCAATAAGCCACAATGCAGTATGGAAAACAAAAGATGCTTATTCACCCATAGAGTTATAAACACCTACCCACCGAAGGCATAAATGCCAAACAGAACTGAAAATTAAAATCCAGTTCAATAAAATCATCAGAAGAAATGAGGGAACCACTTACAAGCTACTGGCTTCATGTCCTCATTGAGGCCACTGGAGAGAGTGACCCGCAGGTAAATTGAAGTAAATATTTATGCTTATTAAAATAATTACATATATTTTTATCATGTGTTAAAATACAGAATACAAAAATAAGTCCAGCATTAAACTCCTGTATTGGGGAAAAATCCTGGATTTCTTCAAAGCACATTTATTTGGTGATAGACCGAGAACTACTTTTTAATAAAAGCTATTGTTACTGACAATAGTAAAGGGCAAAGTCAAAGTCTGATAATATTTTGGTGAATTTAATTTGCAAATTGATGAGTAGTTTTGGCAATAAATATGTCTTCTAGAAATACACTCAAAGAAGCCATTCACATCTCATGTACATATAGTGGTGGTCAGAAAATACAAATTCCGACAGACACGGAAGAAAAAATGTTACCAATATATACATACATGTGGCAGCCCCAAGACTTCTCTTTCCTCTGAGATGGCTGATGAGTAAACACTTGGAGACTCTCTTGCAAAGTCGTTATGCTCTAGAATTTCTGACATCTCGGCATTAAGGGGCTCCATCTGCAAAATATAACAATTAATTATACTGTATTACACCATATTAAAAGGCATTACCATTTTGCTTTTTTTTTAATCGCAATAACTTATTTTTAAATACTTCCGTTTTAAAGGTATGAAATATGAGCACAGATGATATAATATCATCTGTGTTCATATTTCACATTGTCAGAGAAGCAGCAGCTTAGAAGAAGAAGTACTTAGATTACTGAGCTCCCCTTAACTACTGCCCTTCCCTGAGATGCAACTCACAGCAGTCGACTAATTCCCGGTACATATTTACTGATAGGTGAACAGAGGCATCAGGTGAAAGGAAATGTGCCCAGCCATTTATCTTACCCTGGGACTGAACCCAGGATCCTTCATCGAGATCCACGGACACAGACCACTGTACTGTACTGTTGGTATACTGTAAAACAGCATTCAAAATGCCATGCAAATAGGTAAGGATCGTAAATAATTTCCCCTTCCACCACCCCGAGGCGAAGGACATAATTTTTGTCATATTACAAGATGCGTCAAAGGTGATACACAATAACTTGAGCTTGAAGTCAATAACTTGAACACACTCCACTTGAGGTGGAGTGTGTCCATTCAGTGTTTATAAACCTTGAAGGTGAGAGAATAGTTAATCAGTGAGAGATTCATGCATAGTATTTGGTGGACTTATAAACACTTTCAAGATGGTATACCTGTATTTAATTTTCTTTCTTAAATTAAATTTATACAATTTTTTTTTTAAAGTGCCTTTTCTTCACAATTTACAGAAAATAAATTTTTGGATCGAGTGTTAACTGATTTCCTGATAAATTTTGCTCTTTGAGGAAAGTTTGATCCAATACTGTACTAAAAACACAGGGCCATTGAGAGATGAGTTTACTTATTGTAAAGTTAATCTGAAATAAAAACTGAATTCTGCATATGCTGCCAATGACTTTATTAATGTGGGACTAACTTCTGCAGTAGCAGACTGAATTTTCCCCCATAAGCGAGGTAGTAATTACTAGTTCAATAGTCCCACTGCATTGACTCCTGAGAGGGCCTGATTATTTGATGAGGCTAGAGAGAGCCTTGTAATCTTTAACATGGTGATTCATCATGATGTAGATTCAGAATTGATTAAAGCTGGTTTACTTCCCTTGTCAGTGCATTAGTATGACTCCTATTGTGATACTAGATACACAGAAACATGTATAATTGGCAAAAATAATAATCAAGAACATTTGGCAATAAATAGTAAAAAAAATGGCAATTGTTTAGAAATCCAGTTTATTCTGGAATTGGGACTGGATCCAAACCAATACTGTATAATCTATATTTTGGAAGGTCTATTGTCCATTACATTTCATTTTGGTAAATAATTTCTCCTAACACCCTAACTGTTTCTTAAGTAACTCACAATCATACAGCTTTGTGACCACTTCAGACTTACAGATAGAAGATCAGTATATTCATTCTGCTGCCCATCTTCTTCTTCATTGTCATCTTCGTCAGCCGGTTCAGCTTCGATCATCTCTACTTCTACGTGATCTGTTGTCCCTATTTCTGACATCTTCAAGGTAGAATCCATCTGAAAATTATGTCTTGGTGTGTACTTTGAAATTGGTAATATGCATAGAATTTATCCTCTACTGTATATATCATTCATATATGAATTATAAAGTATATTGTGGAACATACAGATTCTTCCCAAGTATTTCAAGTATCGGCAATGAAACTGTCCATTATTTCCTCATGATCATTCTCCTCACTTTCCTGTCTTTTCTGTAACACTTGAGCTATATACATGTAGTAAAAGTGACTCATGTAAAATAATTCAATTCACTGTGTCGGAGGACATGCAGTAAGGCTATACATACATTAAAAGATGAGACTAACCAAATTATAATGGATGATAAAAGGGCAGCAAACACACTAAATGAATATTTTACTTCAGTATTCACACTAGAAAGGTTAGATGACATCCCATCACCCACACAAATGTTTGAAGGAGGTAAAGAGAATGAATTTAGGAATACAGTGTATAACCATAACATGCAACATAATCAGGAAGAACAATGACAAACTAATAGACCCAAAAGCCCCAAGTGTGGATGGAATCCAATCCTAAGCCTTAAAGGAAATGGCAGAAGAACTACGCCTACGACTGAAATTTCTTTCCACAAAATCTCTGGACCAACGAATAGTTCCCCTAGATTGGAAATACTGTATGCAAATGTCACCCCCATTTTCAAAAAAGGCAGAATTACCCATATTCCTATTTAATGGATAATCTGGACATAGAAATTCCTGGTTTTCCACTTTTCACTAAATAAAGTATGTCTGGTTAAGGGGGCTAACCCCACCATTCCTATTAAAATACTATTACCAGTACATATATTTTAGTGTATGTGACAAAATAAATTAAAAAATTTAAAGTATATTTGTGAGCTAATTATTATTTAATTTCAATTAATATAGAGAATATACTCAAATTTTATTTAAAAACAATTTGGGTGTTATATTTTCTAACTTTACAAGAATGTGTGTGTGTATGTATGTATGTATAATGATTTCCAAGAAATTAATGCCAACTGTAAATTATGGTAAAATGATTTACTTGTTGCCATGTACAAGTCTTTTTCAAATTTATCTTCTCATTTAATTCAAGGGATACCCAGCAGTGCCTGATTGAGTCCGTCTCACTGCCCTCCCACCCCCATTCCACTCTTCTTCTTTCCCCCCCTTCCCCTTTTTGCACATTCCCTCTTCATCCCTCCCATTGTCCTCCCCCTCTCTACCTCTTTTCTCATAACAATTAATATTAAGAAACACTGAAACAACTGTATGTGTCTCACCATGAAAATCATACGGTGTGTCTATAAATGTTAATATTTCTTAAGAGTATTTAACTTAATAAAAACTGACCCTGACCAGCCTAGATGCCCGTCCCGTACCCCAGGCCATTTCCCCCTGCAAAGTTGGCTCAGTCTATTCCGTAGTGTCTGGCCTCCTTTTATCAGAGACAGACAGGCTGGCAGGCAGACAGACAGACATTCTCTTTTATAGACAAACAGGATTTGGGTGCATTTTAAAATGTTTGATTTCATCTTATGGCTCCCAGTCAGAGACAGGAAGCTTACTGAGGTTTCCTCTACGCTAACTACTGACCTTCCCCAGGATGCAACCCACAACAGTTGCCTAACTCCAGGGTGCCTGTTTACCACTAGTCAAACGTTTACCACTAGCCAGGATTTGACCATGTCAAGTCCTGGCTATGAGATCAGTAGAACCATGTGAATGAGAGCAAGTGAATGGTAAACCCAAGAAAAATAGACTTTATATGGTCTTGCTAGACATGTTCTGTACTTTATATAATATACTGTATTACTAGAGCAGCACTTTATCATAAGCTAGATGAGCTTTCAACATCCAATAATCGATCATAAAATTGTATAACACTTGTGATATAATTTAGTGATCAATTTCCATATACTGTAAAGCATTATGGGAGAAACAATAAGAACTGTATAACAATTCTGCAGTGCAGAGTTCATAGATTTGGAAGTTTTAGATCATGTCTATATATCAGATGTATTTTAGTTTTCACACTTACAACAATTATTGCATAATATCTTTACTAACTTACATCAAGAAGTTCAGAGTAATGCTGACTAGTCTGAACTAGGTTTCCTCGATCATCAGCATCATCATCTCCTTCGGGATCCCCGTCAATCATTTCAACTTCCAGGTGATCTGTCCTCCCTACTTCTGATATTTTTACACTGGAATTCATCTAAAAGGTGTGATAAATAGGAAAAATTAATGTTTAAAATCAATTCCTCTCTGATAATATCAAGCATTACTGTATATAGATACCATATCTAATACAGTATTAGAGAATATATAAGATTTACAATACACAATACACTGTACTTGTATTTCCGGCACAGTATTGAGTGGTCTATACCTTGAGTATACCTTGAGTTGGTTTCAGGGCTTAGCGTCCCCGCGGCCCGGCCATCGCCCAGGCCTCCTCGGTCAGTCAAAGAGTACACACAAGCACGCACTCAGATACAAACAGAGAAATCCACATGAGCAGATACATACGGGGAATACATATGGGTGGATGCATTTTGGTTACTTGGCATTACTTTAGGAATGCACCAAATTGTCACTACAGCAAAATAATGGCAAAGATAATCTGTCTTTTCTATTTACCCCCATCTTTACTACAGAATACATTACAGTATAACTTTCAAACACTTATAAAAAGAAAACATAATAAATAAATAAAAAAAATGCCTATTTAGTGATTGAAGTATTTAATTATAGTTTAGATGCCAGCAGAGGGTTAAAAGAACTTGAAGAAATTATATCTGGTACCCTGTATACACAATTTGTCTTGAAGCTTTCTATACCTGATGTGGGTTCTAGGAGTTCCTACTGGACTTGTGATCCTGTGGTCCCGGGTTCGATCCCGGGCGTCGGCGAGAAACAATGGGCAGAGTTTCTTTCACCCTATGCCCCTGTTACCTAGCAGTAAAATAGGTACCTGGGTGTTAGTCAGCTGTCACGGGCTGCTTCCTGGGGGTGCTCCACTCTAGAGAGCACAAGTGTTTTGAAAAGTATCATCATCGGTATAGCATCTCTAGTGTGAAAAGTTCTTGTTATCCAACCTGTCATTTTTCTTGCAGTTGTGACGGCTACTTTATTGTGTTCTTTAAAGGTAAGGTCTTCCGACATGAGTACACCCAGATCCTTTACATTGCCTATTCGTTCTATGTTATGATTTGCCTGAGTTTTGTACGTGGTTTCCGTGCCTGAGTACTGTATAATTGAGTTTGAGATTTTTTGTTCTGTCATTTATATACAGGATACATAGATTTGCAGAGAATTCTGAGACTAATGTAGTAGAGTATTTGAGTTTATCATTAACAGAGGTTGCTTATGATTACTGTAATTAAAATATTATGATATGCCTTTCATAATAAATTTTAGGCTAACACTTAACAATTGGAGGCAAATTAATTTTAAGACTCAAACTAGTACTGTGCTAGATGACAATTTAAATAGATTAAAGTATTTTTCAGCTTGCATTGTTAAATTTTTTTTTTTGTGGTCAAATAGCTGTGATTAATACATCAGGCTGCGAGTAGCCACATCCAACAGCCTGGTTGACCAGATGACCAACTGGAAGGCCAGGTCAAGGACTGGGCCACGGGGCTGTTAATCCACAGAAGCTACACAAGGTAGACACAAGGTAGAATACATTATGCAATAATCTTGTATATTACTGCAGTAATGCAGCACTTTATGGGTCTGTATTAAATGCATATTGCAATACTCAGTTAACCTGTATCTATCATATCCACTATTTTAAGCTAGGTATGGGTTTTATAGACATATATATACAACAATATATTATAGAGGTTGTAAATGCATGTAAAGCATGCATTCGTAATAGGTATGATGTTACGATCTGCTTGCTCCTTTAGGAACATGGTTTTAAACTCCATTGGTGAGACAGGAGTTGGGGACGGGGGCGAGCCATTCGAGGCCCACTCGTAAAATATAAACACAGATTACTACTCTGCATTCTGCATGAAAAGCGATATCCCTAGCTGCCGGCCTCACATTGCTCTAAAGTGGTTTGTTGTTTACTTAGGGAGGGCTGTAAGGGCCTCTCATCCTTCTCTTGTTGCTCTCCTGGAACAGAAAAGTAGCCACAGCAGCAGCAGGCATTTGCATTATGTGCAACTTTTCGTTGAGACTATTATCTACAATAGTTAGATTAAGGCCCTGCCTAAAATGCTATGCATTTTAGTGGCTTTGCAAAAATGTAAGAACAATAATGTTATGTACTCTCACAAACCCAATGTAGCTACTTGTATATAAATAAATCAATAAATAAATAATCTATTGCAGAACCCAACAAATCCCAGAGAGTAGATTCTATGACTGAAACCGCAGGCAGCATAAACACTAGGCATTCACCTTATCTTGAGGTTATCTTGAGATGATTTCGGGGCTTTAGTGTCCCCGCGGCCCGGTCCTCGACCAGGCCTCCACCCCCAGGAAGCAGCCCGAGACAGCTGACTAACTCCCAGGTACCTATTTCCTGCTAGGTAACAGGGGCATTCAGGGTGAAAGAAACTTTGCCCATTTGCTTCTACCTCGTGCGGGAATCGAACCCGCGCCACAGAATTACGAATCCTGCGCGCTATCCACCAGGCTACGAGGCCCCTTAAACCTTAACCCTAGATTGCTAACCAAAAATCTTCACAATGTAAAAAAAAAAAAAATACACAGGCCTGGTCAGTCAAAAACGCACATTGTCTTATGGGGGCCCTTACCTTGTGATGATTTCGGGGCTCAATGTCCCTGCGGCCCGGTCCCCGACCAGAACCTCCGGCAGTTTAAAATCATGATGTTCACCGTGTGCTAAGGACATACTAGACTCCAGTCCGTCTAATTACTGCAAGCTACCACAAGTTACACAAGCTTCCTGGCAATACATTAATAATGAATATGATATATTTACTCATTATAATGTTGGTCCTGAATGTACAACACGAAAAAACATACTTTTAATCTGAACAAGTATCTTTTTATAAAGAAATTAGATGAAAATAAAGAGCTGGTGACGCCAAATCAAGTTCGACGATCCAAGCGTCGGTTAGGTTAGGTCAACCTAACCTAACCTAACCTATCATATTTATTCATTACTAACGTATTGTCAGGAAGCTTTGTGAAGCTTGTAGTAGCTTGCCGTAATTAGACGGACCCCTAGACTCTGCTCTAAGGACCTCTTGATTCCACAGCAAGTGACTAGGACACCCCGTAGCAACCCACTGCTGCCCCCCCCCCCCCCACAGCAACCCACTGGGACCCCAAAGCAACCCACTGGGACCCCAAAGCAACTCACTGGGACCTCAAAGCAACTCGCTGGGACCCCAAAGCAACCCACTGGGATCCCAAAGCAACCCACTGGGACCCCAAAGCAACCCACTGGGACCCCAAAGCAACCCACTGAGACCCCAAAGCAACCACTGGGACCCCAAAGCAACCACTGGGACCCCCAAAGCAACCCACTGGGACCCCAAAGCAACCCACTGGGACTTAAAGCAACCCATTGGGACCCAAAGCAACCCATTGGGACCCCAAAGCAATCCACTGGGGCCCCTAAAGCAACTCACTGGGGCCCCCAAACCCCACCGATATACAGAAAAACTTACAAACTCCAACAACCTCTCCTGTAACAGGAGTATACACTGTACCCGGCACTGTACCGACCCTACACCATCTGAGAAAGGATGCTGTACTACAATATCACTGGCTAACAGGTACACAGAAACAAAAATAAATCCAACAATATATATCTGGCCTCCTAAGACTTCTATATACAGTTTATGCACTTGAGAGGAACACTTAGACCATACATAATAATACTTCTTAAGGGGTCCGGTCGATTCGTACACCGTCGGGACACAGATAACCAGTTCGTTCACACAACATATTTTGTTTGTATACAGGAGCCCTTTCGTACCTACATCTGCGATGGCCTATTTATTTATACAAGAAGGTACATTAGGTTGATTAGAGTACATAGTATGGTGTTTTTACATTCTTATATGGTATTTTTACATTCTTGTATGTATTTTGTATGTATGTACTTGTATGTATATGTATTTTTAAATTAATCTTCAAAACACTATCTGTGATTGCCCTGTTATATAAGTGATTTCAGACCAAATGATATGAGGTACTTTCAGCTCTGTAATTACTTCATACACGCTGGAATATTGGAAGATATTCTTGTATTATATCCAGATTTTGCTAGTGGGGGCTAATAGATCAATCAGCTTTACATTTCATGTTCTCTCTTGATTATTTAAATCAAGAGTTGATTTGTTTTTGTATTGAAGCTGGTATTTTCTACCCCTGATTCCATGTATGACTAACTATTACAGCTCCGCTCCTGTGCCAGGTAAGTCCACTACAGGGCTCACCATAGCCCGTGCTACTTGGAACTTTTTGTTCCCAGTAGCGAAATCTTAAACAACAACAAACTAACTATACTGTGGGATGGGGCATAGTAGATGAACTTATAGCTAGTTTCTGATCTACACTTTGTAATCTTTTACACGCTTACATATACTTTATTATTTATATGAATTAAAATAATGACCAATTTGGAGCATTGTGGTTTCAGACAAACGTGTTCAAAAGGTCAGATGTAACACAAACAAGGAGCAATGGTTTTCTCCTCTCTAGACACCACAATGTAGGACAGAAAAAAAGAGAATGCTTTTTCACCCATAAGGTTATTGGAGCCGCCTACCCGCCGAAGCCGTAAATGCCCAAACGCTGCTGAATTTTAAAATCCAGCTCGATAAAATCATCTGGACAAATCGGGAGGGATCTTTGATAAGCCGCCGGCTTTCTCTCCTCGTCGAGGCCACTAAAGAGTTGGTGTCCCTCTGGGTAAATTCAGGCAAATAAACACCTATGAGATGGAGAAGGGGGTTATTATATAAACTCATAGCTAGTTCTTGATCTATAATCTCTAGTTCCTTATATAGAATAACCTAGCAACACAGTAATTACCGCGTACCAACCTTTTGTTAACTGATGACAAATTATTTTAAAAGCTAATAAGGTTGTGTGCCCCAAGGTCCCAGTGGCGCAATCGGTTAGCGCGCGGTACTTATACGACAGTGTCTGAGCCATGCCGAGGTTGTGAGTTCGAGCCTCACCTGGGACATTCCTTTAATGTCGCTGTTGTTAGTGTGTGTTTGGTGAGCTGTAGCTTGGGAGTTAGTGTGTTTGGTGAACTGGGGCGCGGTGGTTAGTGTGTTTGGTGAGCTGTGGCGCGGTAGTTAGTGTGTTTGGTGAACTGGGGCGCGGTGGTTAGTGTGTTTGGTGAACTGTGGCGCGGTGGTTAGTGTGTTTGGTGAACTAGCTGGGGCGCGGTGGTTAGTGTGTTTGGTGAACTGTGGCGCGGTAGTTAGTGTGTTTGGTGAGGTGTGGCGCGGTAGTTAGTGTGTTCGGTGAGGTGTGGCGCGGTAGTTAGGGTGTTTGGTGAACTGTGGAGCGGTTGTTAAGTTTGTTTGGTGAGCTATGGCACGGTAGTGTGTTTGGTGAACTGTGGCGCGGTAGTTAGTGTGTTTGGTGAACTGTGGCGCGGTAGTTAGTGTGTTTGGTGAGCTGTGCTGTGGTATAGATGGTCAGATCCCTCTCTCAACTTGGTGCATTATACCGAGTAGAGACTGTAGGCCATCTCCAGTGATGTGCGTGTGTGTTTGGTGAGCTATACTCACCAATTTGTGCTTGTGGGGGATGAGCTCTGGCTCTTTGGTCCCGCCTCTTAACTGTAAGCTGTGGCGCGGTAGTTAAGTGTGTTTAGTGATCTGTAGCGCGGTGGTTAGTGTGTTTGGTGATTTATGGCGCGGTAGTGTGTGTTTGGGCAACGTCATGTAACACTTGCAGCAAACTGACTATGGAGTATTGAGTGCACAATAAACTACCACTCATAGGATGAATATGGCGTGCACAATATTCATACACAGACACACACAAAGAGATACTCACAGGATGAGTATCAGGTACACAATACGATATTGTACCTGACCTAAATTATATGAGATTGACGTATTTTCATTCATATTTTAGCATTAGCAGTTAAACACAGAAAACGTACTTTATTCACCATGGTAGAAAATGGAAGTTTGGTCGTTTAAATATTAGGGGTATCTATGTTATACATTTCAGCATATATTATTATTATTATTTATATATACAAGCGTTCTTACATTCTTATATAGCCCCACTAGTACGCAGAGCGTTTGGTCAGGTCTTTAATCCTAATTTTCACACACATTCCAAGGAAGCAGCCCGTATATATTTTTTGTGTGTGTAACACTGAATTAATGCAGCCAAGCCAGCAAAAGGCATTTTTGTTGTAAACTATGGATTTTTTTTTAACAGACAAATTAACAAGACATATCTCCACCTTATATAATTGCATAAACAAATTAAACCTTTTTCATATATAATAAAAATGCCCAAAGCGGGCATTATTGGGCAATATTACAATTTATAAGATATGTACGTCAGAAGAATTTGCATAACAATTATTTGAATACGTGGTAAATATCTAGCTAACCATAAATTAAATAATATTATATGCTCCAAGTCCGGTAGAAGTGAAAACAAGAAATTGGATACAGTGGTTATGTTTCCCGTTCTCTGAGACATTTCAAACTGTCCTTCAGAAGGACAATATTAATAAAGGGTTGCGTAATGGCTACTGCTTAAACAAAAGCAGCCTAATGACCAATCCTTAACCTAAAGACTAAATGACTTAATGACTAAACGAAATTAAAAATGCTGTTTGTAGTTTCAATTCCCGAAGGGAACAAGATCCTACTGGATATAAAGTGGAATGAACGTTCATTCAACTGGTTGCAACTATTTCCAGCAGACGCATCAATGTGTCCAAATCGGCGGAGGATCGAACCTGTGATCGATCACTCACTCACCGGTTAGTTGTGAGGTGCTAATTAGCGCGCCACGGATCACCTTAAAGGAATGTCCCAGGTGAGGCTCGAACTCACAACCTCGGCATGGCTCAGACACTGTCGTATAAGTACCGCGCGCTAACCGATTGCGCCACTGGGACCTTGCTTTAGAAAGTTGTTTACTTTTAAAATGCATAAAGTTCTCTTTAAATTTCGACCATAAAACAGGTTTACAGTCAGATTTTATTCATACCTCTTTAAACCATTGTTTTGTAAATGTGTATATGGTTAAATTAATCACTAAATTTTCCTTTCACCTCATGCCCCCCTGATTAGTAAATATTGGTACCTCGGAGTCAAGTCTGTATCTTAGGGATGGTTAATAGTTGGTCTAGTAGACACACACACACACACACACACACACACACACACACACACACACACACACACACACACGAGCGGTATGAGAGGTATGAGCTACGAGGAGAGACTACGGGAATTAAACCTCACTTCGCTGGAAGACAGAAGAGTTAGGGGGGACATGATCACCACATTCAAGATTCTGAAGGGAATTGATAGGGTAGATAAAGACAGTCTATTTAACACAAGGGGATCACGTACAAGGGGACACAGGTGGAAACTGAGTGCCCAAATGAGCCACAGAGATATTAGAAAGAACTTTTTTAGTGTCAGAGTGGTTGACAAATGGAATGCATTAGGAAGTGATGTGGTGGAGGCTGACTCCATACACAGTTTCAAGTGTAGATATGATAGAGCCCAATAGGCTCAGGAATCTGTACACCTGTTGATTGACGGTTGAGAGGCGGGACCAAAGAGCCAGAGCTCAACCCTCGCAAACACAACTAGGTGAGTACACACACACACGCACACACAGCCACCGTTCACGACTTTTGTTAGGCCAAAGCTAGAATATGCAGCGGTTGTGTGGTGCCCTGGAGGAGGCCTGGTCGACGACCGGGCCGCGGGGACACTAAGCCCCGGAAGCACCTCAAGGTAAGGTAGCCTGCCCATATGTGTTGTGTGGTGGTGCCCAGAAGCACATCAACAAACTGGAAAAGGTGCAAAGACATGCTACTAAGTGGCTCTCAGAACTGAAGGGCAAGAGCTACGAGGAGAGGTTAGAGGCATTAAATATGCCAAAACAAGAAGACAAGAAAAAGAGGTGATATGATCACTACATACAAAATAGTAACAGGAATTGATAAAATCGATAGGGAAGATTTCCTGAGACCTGGAACTTTAAGAACAAGAGGTCATAGATTTAAACTAGCTAAACACAGATGCCGAAGAAATATAAGAAAATTCACTTTCGCAAACAGAGTGGTAGACGGTTGGAACAAGTTAGGTGAGAAGGTGGTGGAGGCCAAGACCGTCAGTAGTTTCAAAGCGTTATATGACAGAGTGCTGGGAAGACGGGACACCACGAGCGTAGCTCTCATCCTGTAACTACACTTAGGTAATTACACTCAGGTAATTACCGGGGGCCGGTAACTGAGCAGATAGCACGCAGGACGCGTGATCCTGTGTCCCGGATTCAATCCCGGGCGTCAGCGAGAAACAATAGCAGAGTTTCTTTCACCCTAATGCACCTGTTATCCAGCAGTAAATAGGTACCTGGGAGTTAGTCAGCTGTCACGGGCTGCTTCCTGGTGTGTGTGTGTGTGTGTGTGTTGTGGGAAAAAATAGTCGTTAGTAACAGTTGAGAGGCGGGCCGAAAGAGCAGAGCTCAATCCCCGCAAGCACAACTAGATGAATACACACACACACACACACACACACACACACACACACACACACACACACACACACACACACACACACACACA